TCGCTCGGAGTTTTTGGCCAGAAGTACAATTTTATTTAAACAAAATCTAGAATAAATACAAAAAAAAAGTAAATATGACCGACCGGGTTTCGAACCTATGATTGTCTATCTTGCGATTTAGCCGTTTGAGCACGATGTTTATATCAAAGCGTGCGAAATTATCGACCATAATTTGCGTGAAATAATGCGAAAGAAAACCAAATGAAAACTCAAAAACCTGCGTTTTCCCAGACATAAAACTAATCTAGATCGATTGATCGCCCCCGAAACCTCCTGTATACTAAATTTCACGAAAATCGTTCGAGCCGTTTCCGAGATTCAGATTATAAATATATATACAAGAATTGCTTGCTTAAAGATATAAGATATCCAGAGCATATTATAATAAACGCGTAGAATAAACTGTATGTCCATTGTACGCGAGTCCTTTTAACGTCTGCTTAAAGGTCGAGGCAATGATGGCTTATGAAGGTCGTAGGCATAGTGTGAAGAGATCGGTATTAGATGTAACATATCCATTAAATATTAACATATTTATTATCATATTTTAAAAAAATAGCTTGGCTTAGCTTTAAAAAATTGTCACATATAATAAGTGGCACAAACATTTTTTACTGAATAATTGTACTACAGAATGCTATCAGGCACGTACTTTATAATATTATATTATATATATATATATATATATATATATATATATATATATATGTATATATATATATGTATATATATATGTATATATATATATATATATATATATATATATATATATGTATATATATATATATATATATATATATATATATATATTAAAATGTCTATATATTAATATAGATTTAAAGGCTACATTCGATATATTGAATAATAAAAGGCATAGATATTATATTAAAATCACCGAATAAAACCTGCTCATTGAAACTCACCGCTGAACAATATTCAACGTGATGATTCTTAATTACTAACGTAAGGCGCTTATGTTTTTGACTGGATTTAATTATTCGTTCTTATAATTTGTGCAATTAATATAACGTGCACAAGTTTTATATGTCAATTGCGTATTACAAAATATACTTGATGATATTCTATTTAAGGCTAAACATTAATTATGTACTAAAAATAGGCTGGAAGTCGTCATTATATCTTAGCATAATGTTTAAGTATTGTGACCCCCTGCTTCTACTTTCGTTCATTTGTGTCATATAAGCGACTACGCGTGGTCATACTGTTTTAAACAATGGAGAAGTTTCCATTTTTTATGCATTAATTATATAAAAATAATTAAAATGTAACAAAAATATGAAAGAATTATTAAAATATCTCAAAAAATGAAAAAGTTATGAGAGTTTGAAGTTGCGCTTGTAAGAATAATTTCGTTACGTCACACGACCTGAACGACCGGAATTTACATTAATTTCTCAGTGATTAAAAAAAAATTCACCGATTTATTAGTTTTGATCTATATTATAATTCCATTGCATTAAATTTGTCATGAAACTTCTCCATTCAAGTTTATTTATAGGAGATGATCTAAAGTAAGGTTCACATATCTACATACATACATCTGGGACGTAAAGTATTTTTTAATAAATATAATACATAAACAAATACACGCACATGGTTACTTTAAAATACAAATTCTTCATTTAGGACTTCCTCCACTTGCTTGCCAAATGAATCTAATAATTATTAATTCATGAAAGTACAAAGTTAGTTTGCTTCGAAACTAAAACTGAAACAAGGAAGAATGCGCGAATAAGTATATAATTTATGAGATAGAAGCTAAGGCTAAGGCATAGCAGACAATGATAGAGTCTGGCTAACGAAAGCGTGTCCTGGAGTTTTCTTAAAAGTTTTGATATAGCAACATTATTAACCTGTCAAAGGCATGTCAAACTTCAAAGTCTCTGGTTGCTCTAGTTTTGAGCGGTGTTACTTGTTAGTAACTGCATAATGTATATATATTTTTGTGTTTATTAACATACATATAACGTGAAACGTGTATACTTATATTAGATTAGATTTGTTAACAATGAATAATTGATAAAAGTATATATCAAATTAAGAAACAACTTAACGGCTCGAAGCACAGCTCGTACCTACATTTTCTTTTTAAAGTGTGATGTTGATATAAATTAGAAAACTTTTCAACGTATACATTTCATTGCTCGTGACTGTACAATGTACATACTAATAAATAAATATAGACACTTGTTTTTTTACTCACATCAAAGACGGTCAAGGCTCCGTCACACCAATCGGAGCCTTTAAAAACACATGACATTTTTATAATGAGCCTCATTGTTAAGTTTGATGTTAACCGCAGCTTAATTATATTTCAAATTTCTAAATATGTGGTGTGTTCCTTAAGTTAGAATTCATTAAGTTCGCAAACAACTATTATACAAATTAATTTTCGTAAATACAAAAAATACTCAAGATCAAAACATTTTTCTCTAACTATAGTTAGTATTACCGCATAAAGTTTTTTTGAATTTGCCGCGTTTTCTCAGGTCACGCTTTTTTAACCAAACTCTAGTAAGCAAGTAACTAAAAATTAAAAACAAAAAATTACCAATCTACATTATATTTGTTTATTTATTAGGTTTAACACAGTGTACTTTCTGCTGGTACACAGGCGACCTTACTTCAGACCTTAAGACTATATTATACGAATTTTATTATTATTAAATTAAAAGAATATTAATGATGTAAACATAATATTATATATAAGCTAAGCTAAATCTTCAAAGCAAGATAGTTAAAAACACATGAAATACGACAACGGCATTGTCATAGAACAGAAGTTCTTAAGGTAATATTGTAACTTGATATATAAGTGGATAACTGTTTCTGTCACATTTCCATAACAAAGCCACAAATAAGACATAGATGGAACGTGAAACAGATGAGATCACAACGAACACAGTATGAATATAGTAGAACATGTGCGTGTATATCATTGGCGCGAAGACATGGTATTACGCTCAAATTATGCCTCTCACACTTTATATTGACTATTACAAACTATTTATTGGTATATACATTTTTAACTTATGGTAGTACATAAAAATGTTGCATTTTTCCACTAAGAAAAACCACACACTAAGCCCATGAGTCCACAGATGCGAGGCTCAGTAATATTCACCTAATTCTTATATATATATCAATATTCAAAGCTATCAGGTACATTATATTATGAAGAGACCAAGATCGTGTTAAAATTTAACCGTTTATTATTAAAATAATTAGATATTTATGACTGACCTTGATTTTTCAATATTAAAATACAATTTAATCACGGAAAAGGTATAGTAAAATATACACGTGATTACGGTAAAAGTATTAGCATTAGTTAAAAACAAGTTAGCAAAAATGTGCGTGCGCTCTTTAGTACATGAATATTTTCTTACAGTACAATTTCACCATACATTGAGTATTAAAAATGTATGATGAATAGCAAAATATTCATGCGCTCTAAAATTTACCAAAAAACGCACAAGCATGTCTTGTATTATCATTAAGTATTGTTCTAGAACAAATATCCCCCTACCACAATTCTCGTCACTGACCACTAATATCTATTATAATCAACTACATCCAAACCTGTCAGTGATTGTATGTGATCTTGAAAGCTTTGTTTATTATATGAAATGGCTGTACGAAAATTAATAAAACTTAAAAAAATGTATCACTAAACAAATGAAACGCAAATAACCTAAATAAATTGACTATAATATGTCAGTTTCACGAGTGTTTCAAAATGTACATACACTTATTACTCCAGTTCAGTTATTTTAATATTAAATGTAACGGGTCACTGCTCGCTTTTGGACATTCGTATGACGACGAAATATTTATATAAAAAATTGCAGAACAAAATTCACATAAAAACACAACCATGTTAAGAATTGAACTAAAATTTAACTAAACAAAATATTTATACCTTATCTATGTATTGATTTGAGAAAGGATTACTGGAAGATCGAAGATCGAGAAATGTCAAGAAAAGTACACGATACAGTTTAGTTTACATAGAATATGATTCTTTAATAAAACATGTTTATTTGAATAGATATGTAATCATCTATCTCTCCTCTAGTATTCACTGATGATGGCAAAGACACTTGCACTTACTTAAATAAATTTATATCCGTTTTAACTATAAGTCCAATAAAATTTACAGTTCAGAAAAGATTGAAAAATAAAATTAAAAATGTGAATATAATATTAACATATCGAAGACAACACATAACATAAAAGGAAATCGCATATATACAGATCTGTGTCAACAACAGTGACCAAGTACGAATTCTAATGACATTCGAAAACTTACCTTAGTACTAACTGAAAGGACTATTTGATATTTCTGAACCTTTACATAACCCATATGTAAAAACTACCAAACGTATCGTATAGAACATTGACCGATCGACGCGGAAACGTCTGTAGATAATTTTTAAATCCCATACATTCTTCACCATTTTTTTTTATTTTCATATTTTTTCCTGCCACTAAAAACAAAAAACGATACACTTTATACTCATTACTTTTTTCTTTCTTTTTTAGCTTTTTTAACGTGAATATTTAATTTCTAAGTAGAAACCCTAGATATATTACGTACATTAAAGTCTGTGAAGACCAAAAAAACATGCCTACGCACACCCAGATAGGCGGGCGGGAGACGGCTAGAACCAGTACATATAATTCAAAACTTTAGTTTTCGAACGTCATTAAAACTTGTACTAGAACAATGCTGGACTGAAATGAAAAAAAAAACTTATTTAAATTAATTTTTTATACTTTAGTATTTCAAAGCATTCACTCAAACATTTTATAAAACAATGTTATTCATCATTGTAAAATCTTATTTTCCAATATCACTAAACCAAAGTTCGTAGTAAATGTTAAACTGGCAACATAAGTAAGTGCAATATGTACAAGATCTCATACGGCCGTTACACCCACACGGGGTGAGGGCGGGGCCAGGAGGGCCACTGTTATGGCCTTTGTAGGAGGGGCGTGTGCTCCCCGCTCTCCCACCTGTCCCCCCGACGGCGCTCGCTGCAGTTGTTCGTGCAACACGCCGACACGTTCGCCGTTCGTTCCGCCTGGAAGCAAAATAATGTATGATGTATATGAGAGCTATTTATACTCTATTCACGGAGTGAACCATGCGAAACGCTTTCTCTGTCCCACATTAGCATACAAACTAATATGGACAGAAAACTGTCTAGCTCCGCCCACTAACACTTGAAACTGGTTTGAAATCATAGGGCTCGTTCATGTTGCTAATGGTTTAGTGAGGAATTATTAATAATTTATAATAAAATAATATCAAAATGCAAATAAAATCAACATTAAGGTAAAATTAATAATATTTTTAAATATTTATATACATGATTTATTATTTTTTACTTTCCGACGTATCACTGTCATCTCCTACATTGATAATAATTAATCAGGTAACTACACGAGAGACGTCTGAACGGTACGGTATGCAACGACGGACTAATTATGACTTGCATTGTAATCGCGACCTAAGCGTCTTATTTGCAACTAATCACGTGGAAGCGCAAAATCTTAGTGCTTGGTTCATTCGGCGAATACAGTATAGTAAGAAAAAAATTCATACAAATTTCTACAGTGAAGACATTGATATTTTTTAAGCTTCGACTAACGGACTATTACTAAGTTGATACAGTGAGTGATTGGTTGAAGTTTTCAAATTCTGTATTTTTGTGACCAACTATAGAGAACTTGAACCAGCAGAATATTTTTTGTCTTATTAATTATTACGCTGTGAGTAGACAGGCTATAGCGCTGGAAGTGTGAAATATTAATAGCTAAACTTAAACATCGGCGGTTGGACTCCGGTATATGATCTTTTGGAACCAGGCTAATAAACAACTCAGAAATTATAATAAATTCACATTTTTATTCAGATTAATTCACTTTTTTTCAGTTAAAATATTTTACTCTGCAGTAAATTATAATTTTTTTTTACTGAACGTCATGAGTCTACTCGACGGTTCCGAAAATACAAAGCCTACTTACTTTACTGTTGTTTGTTATTAAGTTTATATAAGCATCAAATTACAAATCATTTTATATAATCAATTAAAATTTAAACTAATACTTCTTTAACACTTTCTTAGATTTACGTGAATATTTGACCAAAAATCCAAATAAATCCGAAAAAAATATATTAAAAAGGTAGTTTTACTTAAAATCACAAATATTCATGTAAATCCAAGAAAAAGTATTTTAAATTGATTTATTTCCCCAAAATATTTGGGATATATATAAATATATTTGGGGAATTTACTCAATATACCTGCATTTCAAGTTAGTTTTTATAATATTAACTGTAGGACATTAAAGATACGACAAACACAAACATGGAAACTTAGCAATAAGACTCTACAGTCTACACTGCGGTCTTGAAGTTCATAAACACCACAGTACCATAAAGGCAAAATATAATATAATCAATCGGACTATGAGTATATATGCGAAACTTTGTTCGTGTTTGTTTGATGCTCCTACACGCTAGAATGTGTGGACAGATTTGGATAGTACACAGTAACCTATGACCTGAGCACCTGGAGTTATACACACACACACAGTATAAGCCTATGTTACTGTTACACACCTAGGGAGTCCCATCCAACATGCGTTCACCTTGTCGTGGTGGGAGGGTTCAGTAGTGCCCGGCAATCCAGCCGGGAGCGAAGCTAAGAAACGCATTGGATAGCGGCCCACTTTGGTAGGCGGTGTACCATGCGGGTTGCTCCTGGTACTTCTCTGATAGCAGAATGGACTGTGGAGCAACCCCATGGCTGTTGTGGCCTGCTTCGGCAGGCCATCGGGGCGTCGTGGTTTAGTGCATAAGCGATCCTGCGACGCCCCATTAAGACGGGGGAGGTTCTGTTGGATTTTAGTGGGTAGTACTGGCTTTGCAGATGAGTCCCACACCTCGTGCCTAAATGCATTTCCCAACGTTAAAAAAATGGGAATCGCTAGTCAGACTACTATTATTACGTATGCAAAATTTTGTGTATGTGTGTATTTTGTTACCAATGAGGAAGTGGTTAGTAAGAAACAAATGCACAAATCTCACCTGCGACAAGTGTATGTCGTACAGATGCAGCGTGCTGACGGACATGTCGCGCGCCTCGTCGGGCAGGTCGGGCTGCGCGAGGCCCAGCGCGCTGGCGCCGAGCGCACCGCTCGCGCCCGCCAGTCCCGCCGCCCGGGAACTGCCCTCCTCCTCGTCGCTAGTCTCGTCCATGTCCTTACACATAGTACACATAGTATTTATAGTAATATTATTAAAGTATAATTTGTTTACGCACGCTTGAGTTGGGAGATAAGCTGGTGAATGCGTTACGAAAAAATGCACGTTCGTTTGTTGCCATGGTAACCGTTGTCATTGTGTGACAAATAATATATAATATTATATTATTTCCTTAAATGATATTCTATAAATATATGATTTTAATATGCCTAATATGCGTCATTTTCAACCGACTTCAAAAAGGAGGAGGTTCTCAATTCGACTGTATGTTTTTTTTTTTTTTTATGTTTGTTACCTCAGAACTCCGTCATTTATTAACCGATTTGGAAAATTTTTGTTTTGTTTGAAAGGGTATACTTCCAGATTGGTCCCATTTAAATTTCAAAAAAAAAATACCACCCCTAAGGGTGGAAAAACAACTAATGATGAATTTAACCTACTTCTAATTGTCATATTGACTTGAAACTTTGCAAGTATTTCTATTTCCGTTGATAGTACAGTGGTTCGGTGTTGTTGACCTGATCTGATGGCAAGGCCAGAAGGTGGATAGGTGGAACTCTTCAACGGTTAATAGTAGATACTTTGAGTTTGGGCTTATTTTGTTTGATTTGACAAGCCTAACACGTTAGAATTCTTACTGTGCTACTACTGTCTACACTAAAAAGGGAAAAATAAAAACTTTTTAATTGCTTTGTATGGGCTGGCACCGATTTCGAAAATATTTGATTAGGTATGTATTTAATAGGTAGGTTTTAATTACTTAGCCAAAGCACACCGACTTCGAAAATATTTGATTAGGTATGTATAGTAAAAGAAAACTACCAATCAGTTATTTTTTACTTTTTAGGGCTTTTGTTTGAAGTCGGTTTTTATTTTTTTGTTATTGGTATCTCAACTATCCTAATTATTTACAACATAAATTGAATTCCATAAGGAGTACCAATAACCTACAGAAGTTTTACTTCTTGCGCGTGTACACAATCATACACGCATTTTTTTATAGATATATGTACATTTAACTGCCTCAGTGGTCTTGTGACATAACTAGAGATCCTGGGTTCGAGTCTTGAGTAGGGCTAAATTTAGTTCCTGTAATGAAATTCCTAGTAACAGCCCGGAGTTGGGCAGTTGGCGGTGGTGGGTTTTCACACCCGTGACTCGGAGAGCACGTGTCGCGTCGGTCCTGCGCTTGACCCTTTGTGACACACCTCGATGCTAATGCACGGAAGTAAGTTTAGAAAAGTTATGAAAAAAATTATAAAGGATCATTTACTATTTATAGGTTTAAATAAATATTTCAGCAAATAAACGTTAGTTAATTAAAGTAACAGAAATACAGTTAAATTATACACAAAAATGTAAGTACTAACATATTTAATCCTGATCTTTTTTTTTAACGTTAGGAAACGCACGAGGTGTGGGACTCACCGGCGAAGCTAGTACTACCCACTAAACCCAACAAAACCTTCCCCCGTCTTAATAGGGCGTCGCAGGATCGTTTACGCATTCAACTACGACCAGGAGCAACCCACATGGTACACCGCCCCCCGAAGAGGGCAACCTCCCACCGCCCACCGGAGTGGGCCACCTCCCTGTGCGTTTTTTGGCTTCGCGCCCTACTGAGCCTCCCCACCACGACAAGGTGAACGCACGTTGGGGGGGATTTAATCCTGACCTAGCGTAACTTGCCTCTAAATAACTTTTTCAACTCTACAAGTTGCCGTCATTTATTAAACATTCAAATTCATCAACCTAATGTAAGCAATTCTTTAATACTTTGCTATAAATTTTAACGATATTCCAAGATAAATAATAAAAATTAACTGAATGTCTGAAGAAAATGTTTGGAACTATTGAATTATATTAACTGTCATACATAGCCATTATCCAAAACTAATATAGTTTATTTTTCACATTTTGTTTCAGTAGCAATATAATAATCAGGTTGGAATATCACTTGGTTAGTGAATAAAATAATGTATAACAATACTCACGGGCAGTCTATAATGCTGTCTCTGCTGTTGGTAGCAAGACAGCACCGCCGGGAGCGGCGTGTTCGTTCCAAATATACTCTGCTGTATGTAGGAGCCTAGCATTGTTTTATTCTGTAAGAATAAAAATTATTATTATTATCAACATTAATAACATTGATATTTTGTTCTTTATTAATGCCACTATTTAACAAAAGTATGGCTCTCGAATATATATATATATATATATATATATATATATATATATATATATATATATATATATATTATATTACATTTGAACTCAGTGCATTATATCAAATCAACAATCATAATACACTTCATCTATATGGATAGATCGATTTCACAAGCAGTTTTGTGTCCATTTTTATAGTTAAATATTAAACTTGTTATTTCTTGAAGAATCTACCACTGCAACGGCTTAAAAGGCTAGGGAGGTAGATATGCTGAAAAACGCCACTTTACGTCACGTGTTTTATTCACTCCAATGTATTGTTCTGTGCGCTCTATGAATCTTACTGTTTTATGAATTATGACCCGAGTCCAAAAAAAGAAATGCTCAATTTATGAGTATTTTATATTTTACGTAAAGTGATGTTGTAATTTATTTATAACCGATAATCTTGATTCTTTTTCAACTTCTAAATTTCAACTATCAAAGGTGTTTTTTAAATCGATGTTATTAACTCAGGAAAGATTTAAACACTCACAGTGATCAGTGACAGTGAGTGTCATAAAATTGAATGCTATCTCTAGTTAAACGGGGAAGAGAACTAATTCTTAAAAAATACAAAATACAAAAAAATATAAAAAATATAGTATTACATTAATTCTTATTCACATTTCCTTCTAAAAAATTGTAAATTAATACTTATATAAAATTCCCTTATTGTTTGAACCTACAACTGTATGGCAAAAACGAGAATAGTAGCATAAATATAAATGTCAGGCCACTATTTTTGACGTTGACATTTTTATTGGCTCCCTCTATATAATTGATTAGTGTAAGTTGATTAATAATAAAAAAAAAACGTGTGTGCGTCTACTTATAAACGCACGTAAGAAGTTATACTTCTTTGGCGTAACAGAAGTCTCTGTTTGTAAAAGGAATGCAGCTATTCATCATATCGCTTTTTGGCTTAAAAATTTCACTATTATAATTTTATCCAAACGCGCCAAAAGAAGTATATGGCTCTTCTCCCAAATAGGTACGAAACACGTAGAATACAATGCTTAAGTCGCATACTAGCTGAATACTTGTTGGCAACTCGACGTTCGCACATTACGCTACTGAAAAGTAACGAAATGCATCATTTGTTTTATGCTTTTTTAAAGAACGGACGAACTTTTTCAAGATGCGCTCCGACCAGCGCGGCGGGTCGCGGACGCTTACGATACCGGTAGCGTAGTGTCCGAGCACCGGTGTATGTGCGAACTCCGCGGCGATCAATCTCCGGGACTCGCAAGATACTAGAGTCGCCTGGGCGTATCGTAATGGAAGAAGGGCCCTACTTCAGAAATAATAGATAGTGTCTCACAAGTGGGTTCTGCGCGGGTATCGCGTGGTGCATGGTCTGGCGCAGCGAGCGCAGGAACTGTCGCTGCGAGGGCTCGGCCGGCTGCCAGCCGGGATGTCTGCACGAGAACGCGACCAGCGACAGCTCCGTCTTACCGCCCTCGCCTTGGTTGTACTGGGTGTTGCCTGGGTCATACATTTGTTATAACAATAATCTATATCGTATTCAGCCCTTTTTTAACGTCCTTCTACTGGGCCCGGGCCTTCCTTCAATACGAGGGGGATCAGGCCATAGTCCATCACGCTGGCCAAGGGCGTGTTGGCGGACTTCACATGTCTTTCGAAAACTTGCTAGGTTCTCTCAGACATGCAGGTTTCCTCACGATGTTTTCCTTCACCGTAATAAAAGCCGTTGTCAAATAACAGCTTTCTTTGTACTAAATACGTATGAAAAAAAAACTATTTTTAAAATTGTCTGTCCGTCTGTTCCGGCTAATCTCTGAAACGGCTGGACGGTACTTTCACTGGCAGATCGCCGATGTTATAAGGAATAACTTAGGCTACATTTATAACAAACTAACTAGGGTTCCACGCAAAAAAAATAAAACTCACGGAATTTTGAAGAAAATCCACGTATCTAGGGACACACCCGAGAGAAGCGAAGTAAATCGCTAGTATATTATATTAAATGAGCAGTCCTTGTATATATACAGATAAATTAATTTTGTTTATCTCAGGAACGGCTCTAACGATTTGTATCAAATTTTGTATTTAGATATGGGTTTTGCTTTTTTAAGTTTATCTATAAAGGTGTCTATTTTGAATAAAATATACTTTTTGTTTGTATTAAAAAGCTAAGAACTATAAAACTATGAAGTTATAATAATAATAATAATAATAAAGCAATCGTAACATACCTTTGTCTGCATTCTTGCCATGTACTTGCCAGTCTGGATGACCGTGACGGCGAATGTCGAGCTGAAAAACAAACATTTACTATGTGCATAACAAAATATAAAACAACACTTTCTTTTGACACGAAGATATTAGCTATATAGCATAATTTAAAAAAATAGATAAAAAAATTAGACACACATTCTTCTATACTTTTTGAAGTATCGCGCCATAATTATTAATTCGACCAAAGCATCACTTCCACATAAAAATTTTGTGGTTCTCTCGATACTCAATTTATATTATACTGTGAATAAACAGTAAGAAAGATTAGTTTGTTTGTTTGACCGAGTAGGCGTCGAAACTACTGAACCGATTTAGATGAAATTTCATAAGGAGTTAGTTTGAGACTCTGGGAAGGACATAGGATTAATTATATACCGAAAATCATCTCTTAAGATGGGAATAAAAGCTTGTATGGGGAAACAACGTAAGGGACCAACCCGAGCGAAGCGAGGTTGAGTCGCTAGTTATGAATAATTTCAATTCCCTATATTGCACAAGTTACCTGAGCAAAAGAGCAGACGTCGCCTATACCGAGCACGCTCACGGTGAAGTTCCTATAGAAGTCGACGACATCAAGAGCTCGCGTGCGCAGTGAGAGCAGCACCAAAGGGCATAGCAGCGGACTCAGTAGCTCGAACAGTATGTACGCCTGTGTTGGTGGGAAATATTGATCATTTTAGTATCAACAACTCTTTATAGTTATAGTCACTTATACACGTCATAATCATCGATACTCATAAAAATATTAGCCTTTCACCATATCGAATGTACCTTAAATTGACGCTTTATTTCACGACATTTAACATTAACTAGTTTTATATGAATATTAGCAGTATCCGCGGCTTCGCCCGCGTTTAAACTTCCGATTGCTACTAAACTTCACAGGATCACCCGCTGTTCTAACCTGAAGATTGCCTGGAAATTTCATCATAATCGCTCCAGCCATTTTAGAATCCATAGGGAACACACATACTTAAAAAAAAAAGTAAAATAATGCCCTTTCGCGCGTGTTGTCCGCGCGACCGGCAGCGTTACAATCAGACAGCTCTGCTGCTCCCACTTTTAAAGTTTATTTAAATAATCAAATACAACATAGCCTATAGCAGTTCTGGAATCCAAATGATTATAAAAAAAATTCATTGAAATCTGTTGGATAAGTTTTCAGTTAAATCCGTTCAAATATACATACAAAGAATTTTATATAATTAGTATACCTAGAATAGCAACTCAATAACAACTCGTCCCTACTTACGTTTTAACGTTTAGGAGAGATTTCTCAGAGACGAGATATTTTCTCGCAGTAAAAAGTATCCTATATGTTGATCCGGATAACTAGCTATTATTATACCAAATTTCATCAAATCCCTCCAGTGGTTTTTCCTTAATGCGGTCGCAGACAGACATAAACTCTTAAAACAGATTCGGCCTCTATTGATAATAATTACTAGTTCAAAGAGATTTTCCAAAATATATTTAATGTACAGAATCGACTCAGAATTTTATATGTATAGATATAGATAATTAATTATTCAAACGTGTTAACTTTACGAGCACGAGCATCCTATAATGCGAGGGAGATCAGGCCATATAATACACGTTTTTATTTGTGAATTATTTTTATGTCACATTTATTGCTATACTAAGCATTGAGCGTTAACTTTAATGTAATCCTAAAGTCATAAGTAATAAACTTTATTATATTTCGCATGTTATATTATTCTTTGAATCTATGCGTTATATTATTATAAAATATTAGCATTGCCCGCGGCTCCGCCCGCGTTCAGATGACCAAGAACCAAATTCTTAGGTTTTACATATTAGTGTACTCTTACATTGCAGTTTTTGTATTTTTTCTTAGAAATAAGATATTTTCCTGCGGTAAAAAGTATTCTATATGTTGACCCGGATAACCGGCTATCACCATATCAAATTTAATCAAAATCCGTCCAGTGATTTTCTGTGATGCGGTAACAGATAGACAGACAAAAATTCTAAAAACTATAGATTCGGCCTCTGTATCTATAATATTGTTTATTTCAATAAGATTTTCCAAAAAATATTTAATAGACAGATTCGGGTTAGTTACAATTTTATTATATGTATAGATGAAAAATACCCTACTCTAAATCGGGCTCATGTTATCGTTTAAGCGATACCAAAACAGAATTTCTGTAATATACGTAATAATATAGTATAAATTATATAAAAGATATAAAATTTTCACTTAAAACTTGTATATTACGTATTAATAATTATTGTTGTTTGTTGCTCATTTAAAGTCATATGTAATTAACTATCGTGACAAGTAATTGTGATTATTGTCATGGCAGGTCACGCTTACAAAGAATAAACAAACAACCTACGCACGTCGCTATAAATAGGTACATTTCCGTCTAAACACAATTATTGTACAAGTAATATGCACCGTACATAGACGTCATAATGATTATGTTTGGCAAAACAGTCTTAAAGTGTACGAAAAGAAACAAATAACTAAAGTAATCAGATGTTTCAACCCCTATTCCATTAAAATCCGTAGACAAAGAAGAGAAAATTATTTCCAACAACTAGTAACATAATAAAAACAACAACAAAACAAACAAAAAACCTTTCATAACAGCTACCTCGATAGGTCAATGTAGTTTCCAGTGCTTTAATTTAATAGATCGAATTAAGATGATCGAATAACCTCAGACTACTATCGTAAAAAGGCAGTGGTAGCCCAGTGGTGACGCGCTCGCTTGGGAAACCGAGTGAAGCGAGTTCAAATCCCAGGTCTCGCACCTCTGATATTTTCATGTGCGAATCATTTCCAACATGATTACCACTTGTCTTAACGGTGAAGGAAAACATCGTGAGGAAACCTGCATGTCTGAGAGAAACTAGTAAGTTTTCAAAAAGACATGTGAAAGTCCGCCAACCCGCACTTGGCCAGCGTGGTGGACTATGGCCTGATCCCCGTCGTATTGAAGGGAGGCCCGTGCCCTGCAGTGGGACGTTAAAATAATACATACAATAATACATACTACTGAATACATACAATACATACTATCGTAAATGTGACAGTTTGTGTGTATGTACGTTTGTTACGCCTTCAAGTTGAAACGGTTGAGCGAATTTCTTTGGCCTCCCTTCAATACGAGGGCGATCAGGCCACAGTCCAACCACGCTGTCCAAGTGCGTATTGGTGGACTGCACATATATTTCCCTTTACCTCAAGAGTGATCACGTTGAAAATGATTAACACATGAAAATATCAGAGATGCGAGACCCGGGATTTGAGCCCGCTTCACTCAGTTACCCAAGCGAGCGCGTTACCATTGGACAACCTCCTTTTAATCTTTATATATATAATTCTTCTGTGAGTGTGTATGTCACTGAACTTCTCTCAAACGACTGGACCGATTTTGATGAAATTTTTTGTGTATGTTCAAGGGGATCTGGGAATGGTTTAGATTTGAATAATAATTTTCATTAAAATGGTCCAGAATGTTTTAGCTTATTAAAAAAAGTTTGAAATTTTCAAATTAAAGACGTGTAGACAGGACAACGTCTGTCGGGTCCGCTAGTAATAATATAAAAGAAAAAAGAGAATAATTACCGCTCTAAACTGAAAAAGGTCTTGAAAATGCGCAGCGACGTCCTTAGTATGCGCTCGTCCCCTCCACGCGGCGGGCAAGTAGTGCACGTGGCCCAACACCTGCACCAACAACTCCTCCCCCCGCGCGGGGCCCGCACACCCCCCACCCAGCCTTTCCTCCTCACCTATGAGGGCTCTACAACAACGATACTTAAAGATGAAATTGTCCATGCCAAGCAAAGGCGAGTCGTTATATAATTATTTCAATAGCTTATAAGTATTAATGAATACTAGCTACTCACCCGCTCGTGTTCGTCCCCAGCTTGCTTTCCAATACAAATTTTTATCCCCATTTTCACCGCTTTAAGAGATGATTTTCGGGATAAGGGTCTTAAACTATATTTTTACCAAATTTCATGACTTAGTACAAATAAAAGGAAATATAGATATAAGGAGACTCACCTGGCTCCAGCTAGCACACATGTGAGTATCGTGATGATGGTGAGCACGTGCTCGACCGTCAGCACGTCCTCATCGTACACCGACAGCACCACGAGCACGCCCAGCACGCTCGCTGACAAAAACACTACATTCCTGTAATGCAATTGACATAATATATAATATTATATACTGTATATGTTTTCTTTTCTTTCTATTAACGTATATTAATGTTAAACGATTACCTCTGTATCACGTGTTAGTCAAAGATATCATCTATATGATTGTGAGTTTGTAATCTATTTAGCAGTTGCTCTACCATTCAGCAGAGCGGGATCGAGTCACAAAAATTCGACCATAATATAAACATGTTCACAAACTTTCACTTTTATTATATTAATAGCGACTCACCCTCGCTTCGCTTCGTCCCTAGATTGATTCATTTTATTGTATCCTATGTCCTTCCCAGGGTCTCAATCTATCTTCTTACCAAATTTCATCTAAATCGGTTCAGTAGATCCAGAGATTACCCCCTAAACCCTCTCAAACTCACAAACTTTACCTCTTTATAATATTAGTATACATAATATGTTTGGTGCCGACGTACACCAGCTTTAAGCGAGAATTGATAAACGAATAATATAATTCTTGAAGATTAAAACAATATAACATTTTACCAATACTTGGCATAGTATACTTCCTATGATCATCAACATAAGAAATGGAATATGGCATACAATTCATTTGAGAATGTTCAATGCACTAGTTTCATCCACACTTTAATATGAATGAAACTATTATATCCACCCATGTCTCTTTATACATTTATTTTAAAATCATACAATCTAAATATAAAAAGAAATTAAATATAGTACTGGTGTAACAAAAGAGAAATGGAGGTCTTACGTATTAATTTGCGTCTTACATTATATATTTTCTTTAAGAATGCAAGTTGGCAATATTCCCGCACAATTATAGCAAATGATGAAACTAATCGTGCAAAAAATTCACGTGGAGTTAAAAGAAAACCAAATGCAAAAAAAATCAGACAAGTGCGAGTATGAAAAATTGAGGCAAACATATAATATATATTAATATAATTTAAATATCACGAATATATAAAAAAATGTCGTTCGGTGTCGTGGAGCACCCGGCGGAAGAGTAGGTACTAGAGTATCATGAACATCGAGCAACGTGCCTTGTATAATGTATCATATTGAAGCTCATCGAAGAAAGCCCTGCACAGAGTGCACAGAATTTCTTACAACGTAATGTGCTTATGTTTTAACACTTACAATCACCTGGTACTTGTGATAATGTCACATTAAGGGCTGCCCATGGCTCATAATATCTGGCGACAATAATTGTCACGAGTACTAGTGGACAACAAACTATCAAGGAATGTCCATTATAAGTAGGGCCCCGTCATAAGAGTGCATACGAACTACTAATACTACATACATTCCTTAACGTTTATGACCCACCCAGCGTGGCGGACTACCTGATCCCTCTTGCATTGAAGCCCCTGCAATGCGGAGGCCCACCCCCACCAGTGGGATGTTAAAAAGGGCTGAATACTTGCTAGCCACTAGACCAACGGAATAATTGTCAAGGACAAATAAATAAACCCTTTATACTTACCGAGCTGTAACAAACACTAGAAAAACGAAGCAATACCTGTTGATGAAATAAGAACGAATAAATAAAGTCTTACTTAGCTATAACAGTAGTGATGGGGGAAGTGAAGCTCGCGAGGTACTTTGTTGCAGGTTTGTGCGCTCTGTTAAGTCTATCACGGAGTTCATGTTCCAGCTCATTGAAATGCCGGAGGGTCACTCTCGCATACAATGACCAAGTACGAAGACCTAAGGACCCTGGCGATCGCTTTATCAGCTGAAAACATATTGTTATATGGTAATAATATTTTATCTTAGTCATAGTCTGTCAAAATGTTCATTTCCATATGTTAATTCTTCCAAAAATGTGATTTCCACATATATGCTAAATGCTTAAATCAAATAATTATGAGCAGTGTGCTCACCTTCAGGGCTATATGATAGGTACATTTGGTAAAATTTCAAATCACAAATACTTAATATTATCTTATTTCTTACTAATATTATAAATGTGAAAGTTTAGATGGATGTTTAGGTGTTTGTTACTCAATCACGCCAGAACGACTTAACGAAACTGGATGAAATTTGGCACACAGATAGATTATATAGTCTGGAATAGCACATAGGCTACTTTTTATCCCGGAAAAATGTACGGTGCCCGTGGGATCGATTTGTTTTTGTTTTTCTAGAGTAGAACCCGAGCGAAACGAGGGTGAGGCGCTAGCATAGAATATAATTTCCGCTCATAATAACAAATCATAGGAGCCACTTTGGTCGTAAAGCCTCTTGTATTTAAATTCGTGTTACAATAGCGGTTATCATTTAATTTTATTTAATAGAAAAATTTCCGTACACTAAAGTTAGTTTTAAAATCTTACGGTTATCATAACATGTTTCCAATGAAAGGAGTGAGTCGTTTTGGAGATACAATGAAGAATAAACGAGATAAGATTTAATTTCTTTATGTTAACCCCTCAAATTAGAATTGGTTTGGTAACATTTTGCATACATTGCTAGATGATTAGACAAGCGCGGATCCAGGGTCATGGGGGTCATGACCCAAAAGCCAAATATACTTTTTTGAGAAGTTTGGAGTCTAAGAAAAGAAGGAATAATACAATTTTTTAAGCACCTAATTTGAAACAAATTAAGTTTTTATTCGTTATTAAGTTTTTCTTTAATTTAAATAGCGCTATAGCAAACAAGACAAGTATAGCAAACCGGTTAAAAATAGTTTTTTTTAATTTCTGGCAGGTTGTGACATGTTATGAAAAAATATTCTTTACAAAAGTTGTAGGTCTAGTAAAAATCTACGACTTTTACAATAACCTCAATGTTTTCGACATATCCCAACAACATATTCCAAAAAAAACGATTTATATTTTTTTCCTGTTTTTTTTTTTATTATTTTTAATGTCTGCAAAAACTTTTTGATATTCATGAAACTAGAGAATTATAATATTCAAAATACATATAATAACCAATTTTTTGAAATGGACATGTTTAGCCGTTTCCGAGAAATTTATATTGTATGGTCTCGGGAGGCTTAAAATCACCCCCAATTTCAAGTGGATGTTTACATTTAAATAAATTGTCGTTCAATTTTCAAATAGGGCTCATATTTTCATCTCGCACTCTACTTTTTGAAAAAATAAAAACATTGTACGGTCGTCCTGTAAAAATAGCCTTAAAAATGGAAAAAAACTGGAGAAATCGATAAGTTTTACTTTGTAAACTACATTTTTTATAGTCATTTAAAAGTGTACTTTATTGACCAAATTTTTATTTTTTTCGATTTTTTAATTTTTTACAGTAGTGTATTAAATTGGGGGTAGCTGGACAGCGGGGGCGTTTTACGGGTTTTTATTCCTTATATACCTGCTAAAGTTTTAAAGCCATAAAACTTAAGGTCTTGACTATTTTTTTTAAAAGTCATTGTTTTTAAAAATATTTCATGTACAGATTTTGCTAAGTAACTATTTTATTATATGTACATTTCAGGCTCTGACACAACAGAAAAAACATTGTCCGCCTTATTGGATTTACATAAACGTCACTTAGCTTATTATGTTTCGCTCATTAAGCCCTTTTATTTGATGTCCATATCATATGGGTCCCTATGGAAATGACAAATCGCCATTTTGTAACGTTCGTTATGTTGAATTAAAAATGGCGGCATTTATGTAATCGTGCATTATCACAAGAACCAAACAAGTATGCCAGATATCAGCTTAATTAGACACGGGGAAGTGGGTCAAATTTAACTAGTAATATTTGACTACAGACAAGAAACTAAATAAAAGCTTGTAATAACTTCACACTGTACTAAAGGGAGGTTTAACGACTAACTTCATACTGTAGTTTAAATCTGTCGCATCGTAAAAAAATCACTCTTATCATTTATTTCCCTAACGCGCCAAAAGTAGTATAACTTCAAAAATACCGGTAACAAAAGTGATAATTCAACAATTAATATAACAAACCTCTGCATAATTAAAGAAGAAGTAAAGTATCTGCCAGGCCTGTATGAGCGGGGCTAGAAGCAAGTTGACCAAGGCCAGTAGAACTATCTGCCTCTCAAGTTGTCGCGCCAGCATCATTCGCTTGGTATGGTCCTTGTACACGCCGCGTAACTGCCAACAGTTCTCCCACGGACTCCATGGGCTATCTATTTACAAAACGATTTCATACAATTTAATCATTCAAATTACACAATAAATTCAGTTTTCACACATAAGATGCATAAGATAATTCCTAAATTCTATTAAGATTATAATAAAAAATAAAACTCAGGGATATATAAGTAAATTAAAAAAAATATTTCAAAATAATCATGTGTAGAAACAACATGTTTTCCAATGTTTGACTCTACTCCTAAGACAGTGAGTAAGACTTGCCTATAAAGATAAGTTTCATAAGTGGCCGCACTTGTCATGACGTCATACAAATTTACACAATCACCTTTGCCCACAATGTCAAATTTATGTATAATAAAGAAATAGTGCAATATCTTAATTAATGTTTAAATTCTTAAACTATTTTAAGACTACTTGATTTGTCCAGACTATTAATAATAATATTAATTATTAATTAATATTATAAATATGAAAGTGTGTTTGTTTGTTCTTCTTTCACGTCGAAACAGAGAGATGTATTTGCGTGATTTTGTGTGTAAAGATAGTTGGTGGGCAACCCAATACAACTTATATATTGTATAGTCTCTCTATCCATACTAATTATTAAGGCTTACCTAGGAGCGGACTCAAGTAAAGCAACGGTGAGTTGCTAGTATAAATCTTTACATAGTATAAAATAAAGCCGCTTCCACTGTCTGTTCGCTTAGATCTTTTAAACTACTCAACGGATTTTAATGCAGTTTTCAGCAATAGGTCGAGTGATTCAAGAGGAAGGTTTATATGTATAATACGTGCATATTATAGTACAGAAAAGCCGAGAAAATCAAAGATGTATATTTCATACTAACCGTTAAAACGTACCTAAGGACGAACCCGAGCGCAGCGAGGGTGAGTCGCTAGTATATTCATAAAAAATACACTTACAAAATAAAAGGAACTCCAAATTCCATTTAAGGCCTCTGCTCAAATAATGGAAGTCTCCAACAAAGGGCACATGTATTTGTAGAGGAAGCAAATTCTTATTAACCATTGCCACCATGTAATTGTTAAACCTAAAAAATATGTTATAAGAATTGAATTATAAGGTTATAACATTTATATGAACATATTAATATAAAAAATGTCATATAAGACAATTGATCTGCTTTCAGAATTTGTTACTTTAATTCTGAAATATTTTCTACATTTTATTTCCTTAAGCGAATGCTTTACTAGTCTGGCACTTATCTAAACTTTCTACTATTTAAACTCAATTAAAATATTTCATTTGGGTCTCTTTATTAATATTTTATTTTTAATCGCAATCATATGCATCATTCCATGATAAGTTTTTGCAATTGCACCATCATGTTTTATTATTAGGTACTCATTTAAATAAGAAATTGTAATTCTGACATACTCCTAGATTATATTAATCAATGTAGAAATAAATTTCATTATTTTCTTACATAAAGACAAACAACAGATAGTAATCTTACTACTATTTTAAATGCGAAAGTTTGGATGGATGGATGTTTGTTGCTCAATCACACCAGAAAGGCTGAACGGATTTGGATCAAGTTTGACACAGAGACAGATTATAATCTGGAATAGATAAATTTGTTTTTGTTTTTCACTAGGCAAAAAAAAGTAGCTATAAACACTATAAATCACCAAAAATTAATCAGAATTATTCTTTTAAAAGTATGACTGAGCCAATAATAGAATAAAACAGTTATCAGAATTACCCTAGTTTAAAGCAAGTTAAGGACATTAAACTAGGTTACACACATTTGTATTTATGCATGTTACAATTCGCCAATCCATCAACATACTAGATGATACAATCATTTCTTTTTCCTTAGCTAATGAATTTAACATCTATGTAAAAAAATCATAATTCATAAAAGCACGGTAAAAATTCTGTTCGCTTAGCCATTTATGTGTTCAATAAATTTAAATAGGAAATATAATTTTAAATAATAAAAAAATGTTTATTAATTTCAACTAGTATTTTCGTAAGCTATTATATTTTAATGTTATTTTTATTTAGGCTAGAACTTAATGCCGCGCCATTTTATTCGCTAATGCATATTCTATAGGAATAAAATCGCTGCTTTGTGTTTCAATTTGAGTTGAATTTTCAATGAATAGATATACATATAGGCAATAGATAATAATAAAAATAATAAATAAGCTATTTTCTCTATTCTCAGAGCTCATATATAAAGCCAGGACATGCTTAGTAAGTTGAGTAGTGATAACTACACAGAAACACAGGCAAACTAAGACAAAGTACCTCTGTGTTGAATAATTCTTCAATCAATTTATTAAAATTGTCTAGCAATAATAGATACCCAATAGATTTCTTTTTGTATTATTTAATATGCATCAATTAATTTATAACTGCTTCTTTTGCCATGGCAAATAAAAATATTAAAATTTAAAATACATATTATGTTGTTATAAAATAGAAATATTCACATATTTTGCATTATATTCCTAGCAATAATATTATAAATATATAAAAATAATCTATGCTCATAGTAAAGGTAATCTTCCTATTGCTTGTTAAATGTTTAATGTCACAGACAAAACTAGATTTATTAGCACTAATTACATTAAAATATATGTATACATATTTTATTACATACACTTTAAATTTATACATTATAATTTTTTTATAATAACATAGTAGCGTTTGTCAGCAATTGAAAACAATTTAGATCCTTATTTAATTATATAAGTAATAAAATGAGAATAAAACACTTAATAAATATTATACATCATACCTGAGTATTCTGTGGTAAATATCTAGTTCGTTGATCTCTTGTTTATGTACACACATGTGATGTTCAGGCTGTGCTTCCCTCACTCTTTCCTGTATCGTGGACCAGTTTACCCAAGCTAAATCACTCTGTGGCAGGTAAAGATAAGAATAATCACAAATATGATCTATACATACAATATTATCATTTCAATCAAAACATATTTCTATCAAACTTACCTCCTTAATTTTTAAAGCATTACTATAGAATAATTTAGTGTCATACGCATAATATAAATGATATATTGATATAACCAATCTCATGAACCAAATAATTGCACACAATACAATTAGACACCACCTGAAAATAGAGACTATTTTAATAAGAGATCCAAATATTCAAATGTTATACCAAAATATATTATATATGTGTAATCTTACCATTTCCATGATATATAACCAACACATACTGAAGTGGGAATTATAACATCATTTAAACTAAGTTTTTCACTTCTGTTTGCTTTTGGATCATTCCTAAATAATCTTGGATAATCTACACAGTGCACCAGAAATGTAGAGAACCACACAATAAATATAAATTGTAACAAATACAGCAAATCTGACATAATCATTGGATAAAACCCTCCCCTAACATAATATCTATACATTTTTGTAAAAAATGAATCAAGATCTTCTATATGATTCCATCCTCCTGAAACAATGTTATATACATAGTTAATTTTATCAATATCCAATATATTTTGCAAATACCAACATGTCTTTAAAGTTATTAAATAAAGACCATATGTGATGTTAAATTGTATTATATACTTGCATTGGAAAAAAAATGTTTTATTACTAATATAGATACAATGAATATTTACAATAGCAAAAAAAAATAACTCAGAAGTTTCTCACATCAATAGAGCATGTTGAAAAAGAATGCTATTAGATATAATAAAAAATATTATATATATTTTGAAATGTCAAATGATTATCTAGAAAATAAACATGAATTGTAGTTTACTCTAAATTTTACAAAATATTTTGTTTTCAAAAGGATAATATTTTCAGTATGGCTTGATAAAATTCAAGATATGTTATAATAATGAACAAAGACATCTTGCAAAGGCATATAATTAGCATAATATATATGTAAGACAACAGTTACCTACCTTTAGTTTGAGGTACTTTGTGGATTATTACATTAGTAGCATCATCATGTTCATGATCCAGAGTAATCATTGTTGGAGTATTTATGTTTTCTGCTGATCTCGCTAGTGGCGGAGTTAATTCGTTGTTTAGAGCGCTATAAGTAATATCACGTCGAAAATTTTCCATTTTAAAATTTTCGTTATCTCTTATTATTGTTTCTGCGTCTTATTATTCTAAATAGAGATTACTTAACGTCTACACATTCTTGACTTTGGCCCAGAAACGCAAAAAACTTTCATGAAAAGTGACTTCGTAAATGTATACAAAGGAATTTAATTTCGTTATAAATTAAAAGTATCGAAATCATTTGTAAGACATTGAAATTTTTATTGAACATTAAATAAAATTAGTTCAAGGATACAAAGAATTTAATAAGTCTAAAAATCTGTAATGTCTATATTGATGAATAAACTTCACAAACCAAATGTCGAAAATAAACGAGCAATGAATGACAGTTTCGTGAACAAACAATAAAAAATCCTTTCTACGCAGAAATAAAATCTTGATGATAAAAAAAACCACAGATAATATATGACTTCCTAGTTCGTTTTCCATTACAATCCTCACCTACCCTACCCCAGCCTGCAAATTTATGATATTCGCAATGAAAAAAATACTAATTGATAGATTTTTAATAGCTCAATTCAACTACGTAGCCCTTCCAAATTGCTCACCATTAATTATAAAATTAAAAATCAATGAAGTCCTTGAAAAAAAAATTTATTTATCCGTATATTCAAATTTCTATATCTTTTGATATATACAATATTTTAAATTGCTCAAAGTTCTAAAATACTGCTCAAGTTGCATTTGTAATTGCTCAAGTAGAGTTCTCACCAGCTCCACTTTCCTTAATTATTAAATAAATATAAATAGTTTTGAATAAATTTAACGTATAGATAGGTGAGTGCTGCGCATGCGCGCAAACAGTAACGCGAGTCGCAAGGCAAAAAATCAAGTGTTTCATAACCTCATCATAGTGAAATGAAACTGTAATACTCCAAGCACAACATCATCTATTATCAGGCATTTTTATAGGGCATGATTTTCACGTGTTCAGGTATTTTGCGCATTGCAAACGAAACTATTTGTTGAAATCAATTCTAGTCGGTTTTGAAAATTTAAGATTTAAAAAAATAGATTTTAAATAAAATTTAAATTTGTATATTTAAAAATAAAAAAAGTTCCGTCTTGTATTGATGTTAATAACATTTTACTAATGATCCCTGTCATGGCTATTACCTTAATAGAATAAGCATTTGAACAAAAGATTTTGTCTTAATTTATCTGTTGGTATTAATTTTCATTTATAGGTAGATTCCAGATCTGTTCTTATGTTATAATATCTGAAGTGGAATCACGTAATGTGAACAATTCATAAATTCAATAAATTTAAAGAAATCCACCGAGAAACAGAATTAAGACGTTGAATTGGAACGATTGTCCAAGCCCCGCGGGGGGGGGGGGGGGGGGGGGGGGGGGGGGGGGGGGGGGGGGGGGGGTGGCGCCCGCCGTATAAAATCGCGGGGACAGAGTGAGAAAGACGAAAAGTGGGAGTATATAAAAAAAAAAAAAAGCCCGCCGAGGCCGACCGACAATGCGCGGTGCGCATGCGCACGCTCACTTAACCTACGTTACATTTATTACAACTATACTTTTAATTATTTAATAATCAGCGAAAGTGGAACTGGTAAAAACTCTACTTGAGCAATTACAAATGCAACTTGAGCAGTGTTTTAGAACTTTGAGCAATTTGAAATATTGTATACATCAAAAGATATAGAGTTTGAATAAACCGATAAAATTAATTTTTTTTAAAGCACTTTATTGATTTTTAATTAAATAATTAAAGGTGAGCAATTTGAAAGGGCTACGTAGTTAAATTGAGCTATTGAAAATCTATCGATTAGTATTTTTTTCATTGCAAATATCATAAATTTGCAGGCTGGGGTAGGGTAGGTACAATCCTCGCCAAGCTTTTTGGCCTCCCTGAAGTTGGCGCTAGCAAGACCTCGCGCAGATAAATATTCATGTCAGCAATAATTAACGCATCTATATTATAATAAAACTGTAGAGGTCGAATGTATATACATAGAAAAAAAATACTGAAAACGAAGTTAGGGGGTGTCAGAGTAAAAATAGCACAAATCCAGTCTTTTTCAAATGTTTTGTTTCTCTATTTGTTTTTTTTGTTTGTACGGGCTAATCTCTGAAACTATAAGACCGATTTAAATGAAATTTTGAAATTTTCCATGATAGTACCTTATATCCCCCGTCAATATCTTAGATACCTTTCATCCCGGAAAATTAAAGAGTTCCCGTGGGATAGTTTATAAACTATAGTAATTTATACTTATACAGCTTAGTACACAACAATTTAAGCAAATAATTTAGTAAATTTGGCATTCTGATGCCTTATATTTTTAGCGCGAGCGAAGCTGCTTGTTCTACTAGTAATATTATATATTTATCAGAGGATAACAACGGTTAGTGGCAACATTTAGTTATAATAGCTTTTATTAATTTATGCACTATCATCCCACAGTAATAATAATATTTAATTTTGTACGTTACAATTTTGTATTTTTTTACGAAAAAGTTATTTTACGTTTTAATGAACATATATCACATAACATAATATTATTCAGTAATATTTTCACTTCCTGTGTAATGTATTCTATCTCATTCTCTCGCCGGCTTAATCGTATATATTATTATATGCGTCTCTCTTCCTCGTGTCGCTTTCCGTTACAACGAGTTTCATATCACAACAATTCTAAAGAAGTTTCACTTGATAAACTTGCTTCAGAGCTGTTGAAATGAGCTGCTCTTTTGGAGTAGGGGCGGAGAGTGATCGAAAACAATACAACTTAGTGACGATGATTTTATAATCGTATCTATACATATAATGAAATTGTAACAACACAACAAAGTAAATTTTTTGGAAAATCTTATTGAAGTAAACATTATTATCGATACAGAGGCTGAATCTATAGTTTTTAGATTTTTTGTCTGTCTGTCAGTCTGTCTGTTACTGCAAAAACCACTGGAGGGATTTTGATGAAATTTGGCATGGCCGTAGCTGGTTATCCGGTTCAACATATAGGATACTTTTTACCGCGGGAAAATGTCTCATTTCTGAGAAAAATTACAAAAACTGCAATGTAAGAGTATACTAATATGTAAAATATCAGAATTTGGTTTTTGGTCATCTGAACGCGGGCGGAGCCGCGGGTAGTGCTAGTTCAAAATATAAAAACAAGATAAAATTAAAAATGGGTTTTTGCAAATATCTCGAAAAGTTTGAGGTTATTGTAAAAAGTATAATTTATAAAAGTTGAAGATTTTTACTAAACTTACAACGTTCGAAAAGATTTTTTCCGATAGGACGTCATAATAAACCGGAAATGGAAAAAACTATTTTTCAACGCTTTTCATTCCCCCATTTTTCTGGGGTAGCTGGACATCAGGGGCATTTTACGAATTATTGTTCCTTATATACCTGCTAACGTTTTAAAGATATACAACTTCAGGTTTTAAACTTTTTTAAGCTATTGCATAGCTTCTATCGCGGGCCTTGAGCGTGGGGACCGAATCCAGAAATTCCGTAACGAAAAAAACCTGACACACCCCACTCCGACCGGCATAGCGGTGATACTTTTTAGTTTTTCCATCTATCGATAAATACCAGAACTTTTAATGACTTTTTGAAATATCACGCTTGTCTCTTTAGTTCAGCAACCCGCCTTTAGGTGGCATTGGTTGTATTGGAAAACTACCGTAATCAGCTGTTTGTGAGAAAGTATATAGGTGTATAGGTATTTATCATCTATGTACAACAGTGAATATCTGTACTCGTATAATTTGTGTACAAAGTGTTTTAAATATGAATAAACAAAGTGCATTTCTTAATGAAGAAAGTCAAGAAAAAAAATACTTCATTAATAAAATAAATAATTATACTTGCATGTATTCAGCCCTTTTTATCGTCCCACTGCTGGGCATGGGCCTCCCTTCAGTACGAGGGGAATCAGGCCATAGTCCACCACGCTGGCCAAGTGCGGGTTGGCGGACTTCACATGTCTTTCAAAAACTTGCTAAGTTCTCTCAGACATGCAGGTTTCCTCACGATGTTTTCCTTCACCGTAAGGCAAGTAGTAATCATGTTAGAAATGATTCGCACATGAAAATATCAGAGGTGCGAGACCCGGGATTTGAACCCGCTTCACTCGGTTTCTCAAGCGAGCGCGTTACCACTAGGCTACCATTGCCTTAGCCTTATAATTGCATAAGTTGATAAAAAATGCTATGCAATAGCTTTACCGCGGCAGTCTCCGAGTGCCACATTTAATTTTTTTTGTTTCTAAACCAGATTCCGATCGGACTAATGAGTGTTCCTATATAAAAAGCTTGATTTCATTTTATTGTTATGACAGACATGCTTTCTAATAATTTCAGCCAAAATAGTGCAATTAGGTATTTTTTTCTATTGCTAATTGTTCGGCATTCAATCCGAATTTCGGCTGAATGCCGAAGTTCGGTTAAATCGAATGTAAAACGAATTTCAGCCCATCCCTAGCTGTTAAGTGCCAGCCCTGGTTGTAAGTTGTAACTTGTTACCCATCCACAGATAAAAATACGCTAATAAAAATAATAATCCGCAAAAAGTATTTTCATTTCTCATTACATAGTTCATGAATATTAAAGGCTCTTAAATAAATTTAATACGTTAATATTTGTGATTTGTAATTTTTACATATTTAAAGCCGTTGTTTTATTTCATATGATTAAGAATAATATTAGATTAGATAAAATTTTAACTAATACAACGAATACACAGTGATAAGTGATTCGTTGTATATAAATTGATCAAAATTGTTTCTTAATATGGAACAATTACTGCTGCATTTTTATTAACAATGTCGTATACCTCATAAATATTATAAAATACGTTTAGGAGTACCAACATAAACTACACTTTTTTTTGTTAATAATATTTTGTATATAATTTCCACCCAATAATGTTTATTGTTGGTTTAACTGGAGGACTTGCAACAGGAAAGAGTACAGTTCTATCTATATTTCGAGAAAATGGAATAGCTGTAATAGATGCTGATGATATAGCTAGAAAAGGTACAGTAATTTATTTGAATATGGAAAATATTAGTATATATACTGTTAAGTATATAAATCGATTTGTTTTCTTTCCTTCTATATTTTTTAATATTCCAATAATACATTTTTGACATCATAGTACTATGTAATAATTAATTGGTGATTATTTAAATTTATTCCATAATAGCATAAATTCATTATATTAAAAAAAACTTTATATTTAATTGGTACAGTACTAGAACCAGGAACAAAAGCTTGGAGAGAATTAAAAGCGTATTTTGGAGAAGATGTTTTATTATCAGATGGAAAAGTTAACAGAATAAAATTGGGAGAAATAGTGTTTCAAGATATTGAGAAGAGGCGAAAACTTAATGCCATTACACATCCAAGAATTCAAAGTGCTATGATGAAGATGGCTTTCAAATACTTTTTTTCTGGTCACAAGTATATTGTTATGGAAGTGCCATTGCTTTTTGAGACTGGCAAAATGTTGCACTTTATGCACAAAATTATTACTGTAGTGTGGTAAGTTCTCTATTTATATGTATAAAATAATGTTTAATTTTTTTTAACATAATCATTTTATGATTTCAGTGAAAATCATCAACAACTGGAGAGACTTTGTAAGAGAAATGATTTCTCAGAGAAAGTGGCCATACAAAGAATTAACACTCAAATGCCACTTGAACAGAAAGTTGCTAATTCTCATTTTGTGATAGATAACTCAGGTGACATTGCAAGAACAAAACGACAAACTTTAAGCATAATAAAAGTGCTAAGGCATTCTAAATTTACATGGTTAGCACATGACACAATGACATTGTATTTATTACTATTTACAGTCTATTTATCTAATCTATAAACTTGCCAAATATGAATTTCAGAATGTTCATTCTAGAATATTTTCTAAAATATTAATAACTTTCAGAAACAAACAGTCAATCAAAATTAATGAAATCAGCAATCAATGATCATATCTTCTCAGTGCTTATTTTGTGCGAACAACCAATTTACTGAATGAATTTAATGCCGTCTATAACTTTTAAATATTAATTCTATTAGTATTAAATATGTATTTTACTTTAATAAAGCCATGAGGTCTCATCGCAAAGAAAAAAATAGTTCAAATAAATGTCAATATATGACATTAGATACTTTAAAAAACAGCAGTTCTCATTGTAATTTTCATTAATATAATTGTTAGATATTATATGTAATATAATTCTGACTTAAAACTTTGAAACATATGCGGCATAATCTAATATGATTTATATTTTCAGGTACTTTCGGGCAATTATTTTGATTGGTTTGCTCTCAGCTATATTTGGAATGACTCACATAGCTTCCAACATGTTTAAAAGCAAAACCTAAGGTGTTCAATAAACAAATATTACTTTAGGAAGCTTTGTTTTATTGAATTGCAACTTTAAATAATCATTTATCCTAATTCTTACATTTAATTTGATTACTCTCTATATTTTTGAAAAGGTATACATTAGTAATTTTGTATGGGTACGTCCCCAGGTGAGTTTGTAATAGATAAAAATTGTTCTTGTGAGTGTACCTTTAGACATTGACATACATATGTATGCTATTATTGACTTTTCTGTAAGACTTTTTAAGACCAACATTTTTCTAGTACATTGTTTTGATGTATGTGTTAATCTGTTTCAACTATGGTCTATGTAATGTAAAATAATGGTGTGCAATAAAGAATATTTCATTTCATTTTTATTTCATTATACTGATATGGATATACTTAGTGGGTTTAGTTCTAGTTGGTCCGTCCGACCAAACGTAGGTAGTACCTACCTAAGTTATAAAACTTTCTTGATATGCTAAAAACTCAGTGTTGGTAATTAAAAAAAAAATTTTTCACTATTTTCAAACGATATAATAATTAATTTGATTCCGTTTAAAACCAAACTAAAACTCACTCTCGTTGACGTCGTCACTTGTGACCCAACGCAACGTTGCCAGTTTTCCTACCCTACACACATGCACATACATAAAAATATAATATAATAAATAAGTATAGGTGGGTATACCTACATACTTAAGTTTTCGTTTCGTACTAGGTAATGTAGGTAGGTACTTTCTATTTATTTTCTATAAATTAATTAAAACGAAAAAAAGGTAGTGGTAGCCCATGGTAACGCGCTCGCTTGGGACACCGACTGAAGCGGGTTCAAATTCCGGGTCTCGCACCTCTGATATTTTCATGTGCGAATCATTTCTAACATAATTACCGCTTGCCTTACTTTGAAGGAAAACATCGTGAGGAAACCTGCATGTCTGAGAGAACCTAGCAAGTTTTCGAAAGACATGTGAAGTCCGCCAACCCGCACTTGGCCAGCGTGGTGGACCATGGCCTGATCCCTCTCGTATTGAAGGGAGGCCCGTGCCCAGCAGGGGGACGTTAAAAAGGGCTGAAAACAATTAAAACGAAACATGATGTCAGGTGACCAAAAGTTGTCCGTAATGAAGTGTAAAACACAGTTCTTTTATTTTCGTACTCAACCGATTTTTCTCATTAGGATAGCATTTTTTAGGAGAAAAGATTAGGCTTTCAAACAAAAACAAACAAGAAAATCGGATAAGCCATTTTCCTAAAAATCGAACTTTTATACCAATATACGGCTTGAGTCGATTCAGTTGCATCATGAAGTAAAAAATGAATAGTAAAAAAACATTTTTCAAAATTATATACTAAAATAAAAAAAACCAACTGCGTAAAAAACTAACTAAAAAGATGAAAACATGTCGACGAAGGAACATAGCATTTTGCTTTTAGATGGTGAAGCTGGAAGGTGGTTAGTGTAACTCTTTAAAAGCTACTAAGTTTGATCTTGTTTTCGTTTAACAAGCTTATTACGTCAGAATTGAATTTTAGACCCTGATTTATAGTGTTATTAATACAAGTGAGTTTTTTAGTTTGTTAGTCTTCATATGAAATTTAGCAGCATATTTTTTTTAAGCAAAAAGTAATGAACCGATTTTAACAAAATTTTGTTTGGCGATCGATTATTACGCGGGTCATCATCCAGGATACCTTTTACAAAAGGTAAATCTCTCATTCTCACGGGAAAACAATAATTGACTTATCGCTAGAAATTTGCATAGCTAACACTGCACACTGCACCACACACACACACGGTCTACGTAAAACGTTTGTTGCAGTGTGCAACAAAAGACAAACTTATACTCCTACTAGCATTGCCCGCGGCTCCGCCCGCGTTCAGATGACCAAAAACTAAATTCTTAGGTGTTACATATTAGTATACTCTTACATTGCAGTTTTTGTATTTTTCCTCAGAAATAAGATATTTTCCCGCGGTAAAAAGTATCCTAGGATCGCGCGCTACATCGCCCGGTTTATATAGCTTGAGCAGGCGGTCGAGCGATGCGGGGCAGAGGGGATGGACTCGCCGTAGGCATCTCAATGCTCGCCAAGCATTAAAAATGTTTCGCTACTAATTACTTCTAAACAACGATATCTCAAAAACTATTCATCTGATTGATTTAGTGTAAAGAGCAATTTTAATCTGCATTAAATGACTAAGCTAACTAAAATATTCATTTGGATAAGGATTAATACCGAACTAAAGAAAATAACTTTGAAAATAACGTAATGTTTTTAATTAAAAATGTTAACATAAAAGTGGTTATTGTAAGTCAACCGTAAGAGATAGAGATATGCTATCGCGGACTTTTTTGTAGCATTTTTATAGATTTTGAATTCTCTAGTACATTACTTAACTGTATCTTTGCTAGTTTACGCGGCGTTCGCGTGGAAAGTTCCCATTTGGCGAGATTTTTTGCGACCTCTTCAACATTTGTCGCCGTATTTCAGCTAATTTACATAAAAGCATAATAAATTATATACCTAAACCTTCCTCAAGAATTACTCTTTCTATTGTTGAAAACCGTATAAAAATCCGTTCAGTAGTTTTCGAGTTTATCGCGTACAGACAGACAGGAGGACAGAAAGACGCGGCCGGGGGACTTATTTTTATAATAAGTATAGATTTACGTAGACCAGTGTAGCATTGCATTCTGCCTGAGACGAAGTCTCATGTTTGATCCGTAAGGGCCAAATATTTATAGCACTTGTATTGTTAATGCAAAATTTTGTTTGCGTGTTACTTTTTTCTTTACTCTTTTACTTAAATCGAAGTAGGACTACCTATATTGATACTATTTATTAAGGTTGATCATAAAAAATCACTAGCAGACCTAACCATCCCAGACCAACCCAGTACATACCTCATAAATACATATTTCCTCCACTTCGAAGAAAAATATTTAAAACTCATATTTTTAAATCATATATGTATTAAGAAAGTTAACACATATCTATTAAATTATTATATTTTCACTTTAATTGTCTGATGCGCTCGAAGTGCATGAAGCTTTATTTTCCTTGTGAAATTTTTAAGGAATCTTGCGTGAGTCCACCAATTTAATTGGTTAAAGGTAGAAGTCACTGCTACGTGCTTTCTGAAACTGTCATCAGGCGTAGTTGAAGATAAATTGGTACTTGTAGTCGAAATGGCTTCAGTTACCAACGTGAAGTTATTTATCTGTGATTTGAAAACTCCTTCTATCATATCATACTTGTAAGACCCAACTATTGCACTGAAAAAACGTAATGACACGTTTTTATGTTTGTTTACTTAATTAATTTTGTATTACATTAGTATTTATACCCGACTGCTGTATAGCCCAAAGGAGGGTTACCTGTATGCATGTATGTATGATACTATGTGCCCTAGTAATTACTAAACGGCTTAATCAATTTTAATGATTCATACGTCGAATCTAAATTCGTCTTTAAGTTTAATTAAAAGTCAATTTGTGTCTTAAAAACTTTTTTGTCCAATTCTATCGAGTGGTGTATCAAAACGAAATATAAACGTAGGTATATAGGTAATTTTATATGATTAAAAATAATTTAGGATAACAAATTATAAAATTGAGACTAAGGAATATTTTTTATTCTATATATTATATTTATTTTTTATATTTATTTTTTTTTTATTTTTTTTTCCTTGCTACGGCCTACGAGTCTTTCTACGTGTATGTATGTATGTATGTCCTTTGATTGCATAATACTATCTATGTTCCCACGTCAACTTGTTCCCATTTTTATTTTCTTTTTACGAAATCGGTTTTAAAAAAAAATATATTAATATTTTAGTATTTTATAGCTTACGGTTTTACATCTAATTCAACCACAAAACGCGGGAGTTTAGCCTTAGATTCGCTTGAAATTTCTGGTATACCAAAACTGAAAAAGAAAATGAACGTATAGTATAATTATATGGCTGTATCTCCATTAATATAAATGAAATCTGAAAAGCACAGGTATCTTATATATAATATACCTAACTACTAAAAAATATACCTAACTATAGTACCTACTGTGTATACTGTATATGAAGACCAGAGTAGAAGTATAGTATAGAAGTAGGTATATTTATCTGTTGAAAAGATGAAAGAATAAATAATAATATTATTTACTTACAATATAAATATAAAATATAGAACGAAAACGTTTCTAGACATTGCAAGCGTTAAAAATAAAACCAAGTGAAATCTATTTCATTTTATTGATCATAAAATTTTCCTCGTATGTAACATACCCAAAAATTAAATTCTATTTTGCTTATATGTGGACATACAGCTTCATAATGTGCGCAATTTATTATATTAAAATATTTATTCTATAACTATTAATGCGAAAGTTTGTAAATAGATTAGTAAATAATATGTTGACATATAATATGATTTTTCTTATCAACTTTCGATATTGATCAATAAAACTTCAATGTGTTGCTGAAATTTTAAAGATCAAGAATCAAATAAAAAATTAATAATGCAATAAAAACCTATAATTACATTATATAAAATAAAATATTACCTAAAATTTTACGGCTGTTTTAAAAATCCGTAAACGTTCATCCCCTATTTTACGCCCTTATGAGATGAATTTCGACAAATGCTAATAAAAGTATTTTTTTAATTGTATTGAAGAGCATTAATACCAAGTTTCAAGTATCTAATTCTGATCATAAATATTTTTTGGATTGTATTATAATGTGTTTTCCCGTGGGTATGAGATAATCTCCCGCGGTAAAAAGTAGCCTGTCACTCTTCAGCCCTTCAACTATCTCCACATAAAAATCACGCCAATCTGTCTCCCTGTTTCTATGTGTCTCGTTCTCATTCTTACAAAAATTGGAGTAAATCAAGAAAAATTTGTTCATTGAAAAAAATTGTCGTCAAAAAATACATTTGACACTTCCAATTCTTACACCTTATAATTTTCGAGTCGAAACCTACTCAACCTACATTATCCAAGTCGGGCCTTTCACATAATCGAAACCTTAAACTTTGCTCGAAAAAAAAAGGAAAATGAATGAATGAAAAAAAAAACAATAAAAAGTAAAAAATAACTGATTGGTAGATTTCATTTATTATAGATACTTTAATGTGATATTTTTGAGGTCGGTGTGCTTTGATTTTTCTGAATTTGAAGCGACAATGTTTTTATGTTTTCGAAAAGTAGAGTTCAAGACGAAAAAAAAGAGCCATACCTTAAAAATTAAACGATTTATTTTTAATTTACACATCCACTTGAAGTTGGGGGTGATTTTCAGCCTCCTGAGACCATGTCTCGGAAACAGCGAAATAGTTCAATTTCAAATTATATGTATTAAAAAAATATTGCAGAAATTACAAATAAAAAAACCAAGAAAACAATAAAAAGTGAGTTTTTTTCAAATATCTCGAAAAGTTTGAAGTTATTGTAAAGTATCATCTATAAAAGTTGTAAATTTTTACTAGACCTACAACTTTTGAAGAGTACCTTTTTCGATAGGACTCATAGTAATCCAGAAACGGAAAAACTATTTTTCAACGCTTTTCATCCCCCCATTTCTCGGGGGTAGCTGGAAATCGGGGATATTTTACGGAACCTGCTAACGTTTTGACGATATAATTACAACTTCAGGTTTTAATTTTTTTGTTTCCAATCCGGATTACGATCGGACGAATGAGTATATAAAAGATTTTATTTTATTGTTATGACAGACATTCTTTCTACTAATTTCAGTCAAAATAGTGCAAGTACGTATTTTTTTCTATTGCCAAATGTTCGGTATTCATACTGAATTTCGGCCGAATGCCGAAGTTCGGCTCAAGCTGCCGAAATTCGGTTAAGCCGAACGTAAAACGAATTTCGGCCCATCCCTAGTGTATATCGCTTTTTACCCGACTGCGGCGAAGCCCAAAGAAGGGTTATGTGTTTGACCGTATGTATGTAATTCCATGTATGTAATTTCATGTATGTATGTCCAATCCTATCCTCTCTCGTAATTACTAAACGGCTTAACTGTCATCATTCATCAATCATCATTCGATTCGTGTTAATAACGCAAGTGTCATATGGTATATAGATATCATTAAAAATCAAAATGGCGGGACTAAGGCAGCAAGTTGTGCGTCTTGAAAATTTTTTTCGTTCGAATCAATACAGTGGGGTATTAAAATACAAGTTTTTAACAAGCAAATACAAAAATATTGAAAGTAATTTAGGATAAGAAAGTGTTAAATAAAACAAAAAAATCTAACTGACCAAAACTAAAAACCTGCAATTAAAAAAATAATTTACAAAAATAAGAAACCCGATTGCGTAAAAAGCGAACTAAAAAGAGTCGTAGACGTACAATACTCGTAGCAATACTCGCAACTAGTATAAAACATGTTCTATGTCAGTTCTACAAGTATTTTATAAAATTAATAAAATTCTTATAAAACATTACAACAAAGAAGAAAATGAGAGCTTAGCTATCATGTACATTTTTTGACTGCGCATTGTAGACACTCGTATTGAGTGCTTAAATAGTGGGCGGGATGCAGCGGAAGGGCGGAGCTAACTAAGGCAACCTCAACCCTCAGTATAAGCCCTCGAAACTCACTCCGCTGTGGAGTGCCTTACTGTGAACACTAGTGATGCTTGGGGGGCAGTAGTGAATGAAATGTAGAGTCAGTGAAATATTTTTATGACACTACGTAAGATGGATACTGTTAATGACAGTCACTGCACACCATTAGATACAAATTCTGCTCCTTTAAACCATAGTGGATCTCCTACTTCCGGGAATAGCTCAGATATATTCCTATACGATGATTCTTCCATGTCTGATGGCAGCTTGTACGCCAGCGATCAAGAAAATCATTTAACTCCAAGAAAAAGGTATATATGAAATTAAATGTTTTGCAGAATATTTTGTATATTTTTTAAGAGCTTGCTTTGCGTTCCGGATAATTTTCTTATTTAATATTTTTTTATATATTTCTTTAGTTTCTCCCGAGCAAAATGTTGAATTAATTGTTCATTATAAAAGTTATACGTTTTTTATATAACCTGCCTTTAATTTGATGATTATTGTGGTAAATTCAATTTTATGATGTTGTGTAATTGCTTTATATTAATTACCTTTCTGCGATTTTTTTTTCATATAAGCTAGACTAGACTGAATTTTAAATATTATAATTGGCTATCAACAACTATGTTCCAAGCGTAATTATACAAGCTGTGCGATTATTTATTTACCCATAAATGCCAGTAGGAATCGATTTTTCATTTTCATAAAACTTGGATATAGATCAGAGTTTTTTTGATATTAAGTGAAAATAAGGTGAAAAAAATAAATATTTTACTTTTTCTATAGGACTTGTATTTTTAGCGGAAATCGAGATAAACCGTTTTTTACCCTTAAAAACTCACTCCCTTCCACTTCCCAACCTCAGATCGCCCGTAAATTATATATTTTTCCTTTCATTTTTGTTATATTCTCTTCCTTTTCTAATGGGTTTCATCCTACTATTATTATTTTTTTCACTTCACTTACCATTTTCAAAGGCTGCAGCCCTGGTCTAATACCTAAACTGCTAAACAAGCTGAGTTTAGGAATTAATTTATATATCTTTTTTAATGATTTTTATAGCTGATACATCTCAGTTGTGCACACTTTATTATAATTTTATTATTTGACTAGCATTGCCCGCGGCTCCGCCCACGTTCAGATGAACAAAAACCAAATTCTTAGGATTTACATATTAGTTATACTCTTACATTGCAGTTTTTGTATTTTGTCTCAGAAATGAGACATTTTCCCGCGGTAAAAAGCATCTTATATGTTGACCCGGATAACCAGCTATCACCATACCAAATTTCATCAAAATCCTTTCAGTGGTTTTTCTGTGATGCGGTAACAGACATACAGACAAAAAATTCTAAAAACTATAGATTCGGGCTCTGTATCGATAGTAATGTCTATTTGAATAAGATTTTCCAAAAAATATTTAAAGCACAGATACTGCTTCATTAAATTTTAATGTATCTATAGATGTAACTAATTTATAAAGCCAAAAAGATTGTTTTTTGATAATCTAAACACGGGCGGGGCCGCGGGTAATTTAGTAGAAATTCTAATAAAATCATAGAAAGGTCTAATTTGTCCATTCAATTTTTTGGAATTAAAACTACGTATTTTAAAGACACATGGCGACATCTATTGACAAATATCTAAATAATACAAAAATAAATATTCATTAAAATATTTTTTAGTGAATATTTATTTTTTGTATTTATTGTATTTTTTTAGAAATGAGATATTTTTTCTGCGGTAAAAAGTAGCCTATATGTTGACCCGGAAAATCAGCTATGACCATGCCAAATTTCATCAAAATCCGTCCAGTAGTTTTTCTGTGATGCGGTAACAGACAGACAGACAGACGGACGGAAGGACAGACAGACAGACAGACAGACAGACAGACAAAAATTCTAAAAACTATAGATTCGGCCTCTGTATCGATAATAATGTCTATTTCAATAAGATTTTCTAAAAAATATTTAATGTACAGATTTGACTTAGTTAGAATTTTATTATATGTATAGATTCTATCTTTTATTTTATCTATTCTTTTGTGTATATTAAACGGCAATTTCATAGGTAAAGACCTAATATTATCGTACGAATATCTCAATCGTCCTATTTTACCAGACGAAGAGATAATTCTACTATGTCTATGTAAAACCTACCTATGTCCTATGACTAAAGGACTTTTTTAGTCGTCTTAATGTAAGGAAACTTTATGTGAACACTACGTTAAATGTAAAACTGTACCTGGTCTATAGTTTATAATTTAGTTTAAAAAATCTACTTCTTTTTTTATTTTTAATCTTAAATAATTTAACCAATATTTAACGTGATTCAACTTAATACCTAAGTGTATAGTAACGTAATACTTACTACAACTTATTTTTAAAGTTTATAAAACATTGTTCTAAGGTCGGAATATCGGCGACTGCACAAGCGTCGCTTGCGCTGTCCGCAGCAACAGATCCAGCAGCGGCAGGCGGCCAACCTGCGTGAGCGCCGCCGCATGCAATCCATCAACGACGCGTTTGAGGGACTCCGTGCCCACATCCCCACACTACCGTATGAAAAACGACTCTCTAAAGTGGACACTCTCAAATTGGCCATCGGATATATCAGCTTCCTTGGCGAATTGGTATGATTAATTATTAATGATTATTGTTTTATGACTTCTAAAATAATAATGATTAATTATTATTATTGTTTTATAACTTCTTAAATAATAGGGGCTCGAAATCTGTAAATAATTTTAAGATGATCAGTTTTTGTTCAACTTCATTTCCTGAAAAATCAATCCTTGATGCAATTTCGTCGAAATTGTTTTTATTTAAGTAATTTATTTCCCTTAAAATCTAATCCACTGACAATTGACATGAACCCTTTGCGATTATTTATAATAAGTAGACATTCTATATCAAAGATTTGTATTAGTAAGGAATAACTTAAAACCTACGTAAATAAATCATTGTCATTATAATTTTCAATCAGAGGTGGATCTAGGATCTTGTTTTGGGAGTGGTTTAACCCAGCGGATAGAAAAACTAAACACTAGAAAATTGCTCGGAACAATAATATTATTGTATGTTTATGGGCCGAAAATTTTCATTCGTATCAGAATAAAAGCCAATCAATTAATAAATAACCTATGTCCGACCACCTGTGAACGTGTGCTTCTCTCAGGTGGCGCCACTTTTCTCTATCTTGGGCTCTACCCATCCAGCCAGAGCCATCAAGCCTGTCAATGTTGACCATCTTTTCCAACATTGAACTTGCCTAAACGCGGTCTTCAGTCTAAAACTCGTCTGCTCCAACGGTTTATTTGCTTGTTTGTTTTTTTGAATTTGCTTTGCGAACTAATATTTAACTTTAGTCTAATCGATTGCTTTTACTACTTTACTAATGTGCTCGTTTCTCGTTTCATAACCCTATCCCTGAACTCTGAGCGATCTATATAAAATTTGTGAACCAGTCCCTTCGTGAGTGTTCATATTATTACAGCGTAAGTCGTGACTGGTAGCTCAAACTGATTAAAGAATTTACGTTTTTAAGGATTGAGGCAACGACGGCAAAAGATGTGACTCAGATTCTTCCCAAATCTGCCCAAATGACAAATTGAATTGGCTTCTTTCTTGAAATTGTTTCCACCAAGTTGGATTTATTTGTCCCGGTAGACATATTCTGTAACAACTTTAATTGCTAGATCTCCGACAGTGGTGGTCTTAAGGATGATGATGAAGGATATTGAACCACTTTGGAAGCTTCTTCAGGACCAAATCCCGCCTGAACGAAATAATTTCATTGGTGTAATACCATCCTCACGAGGATATTTATTATCTTGAAGTTATTTAAGAACCATTTTAGTCTTATAATCTTTAATCTCGTTAATTTCAATAACAGAGAGGTCTTTAGTAAAATGGTGGCTAGCTGAGGGAGGTGGTGTAGGCTTGATTTCCTTAGCCCCTCTCTGGAACTGCTACTAATCTCAATACTCCGATTTAGTATCGCCGTTGTTATTTCGATTAGATGAGTAGTTCAAATCAAGGTGCAGATTCTGTCTAGCACATGACAAAGTTTTGGGCATTTAGAAGTTATTTTATATTTGTAGTATAAATTATAGGTAAATAAGAAAATATAATTAAGTACATAAGTAAATAACTTTTAAAGAAAGAAAAATAAAAATGTTTGTGATATACAGGTACGCGCCGACAGAAATGCGCCGGATACTATGCTCTCAGGGGTTACCAATAGCCAGAACACGAGCCACGAACAAAAAAAGGTCATCATTAGAGGTAATATTCTCATTATAAACTCTTAGCTCTCTATTGGTGTCTACCGTACAAAAATCCGTGGTTTAGAAAAAGTAAGCGGAGAAACAGACAGAGGCAGATAGCGACTTTACTTTATACTATATATAGAGATATAGATCAGCGATTTGGGCGTGGACAAAATTTTGTATTTTTCCATGAAAATGAGAAATTTTATCGATTAGTTAATGATTGAAATTTTTTGTAAAGAACAACTCGGCCGAACCAGTTGAGTTTTTCTTAAGAGATTTTCTTTTAATAAAAGGTATCCAAAATTTCAATCCCATTAATTATATCTACATAACATAACTAGCAACTCACCCTCGCTTAGCTCGGGTACACCCCTACTTATATTTAACGTTTTGTATAGGTTTCTCAGAGATGAGATATTTTCCCGCAGTAAAAAGTTTCCTACCTATATGTTGACCAGGATAACCGGCTATCACAATACCAAATTTCATCAAAATCCCTGCAGTGGTCTTTCCATGCCACCGACAGACAGATAGCAAAAATTCTTAAAATTATGCTTAGTTACAATTTTATTATACATTATGTACAATATTAATATATTCACAAATAATATAGTATTTCATTAAGTAACATATAAGTTTTTTTTAGACATAACTATATCTATCTATTTAAATTCTCCTGTCGTAAAACTTGAGATCCCATGAAAAACATAACGTAAAAAAATGCAAGTCTCGCAACGCAGTTCTTCTAGCGCAAAATGTTTTTATATCTAATGTAAAACCAAGTAGCAATTCCGGATGATACACAGCTTCTCAATTTGGCCAAAGCCATTCTCATTTTTTTTAAAGAAAGCCAATTCAAGTATTTAAATGTTTCCTTTAACTAAGCATCATTAGCATTAATGTCGATTTCCAAGTAATCTCGACTCTGATAAAATGTTTTACACTCTCAATACTTAATTTTAACAATAAAAATGGCGGGTGTTCTTACTAACTTCACCTAAAATGTCCTGTATGGCTTCGAGAAAAGGATGTTACGGCTAAGTGTTTTGCTCGACTAGGCAGGGGCACTGCCTAAGCCCCACAAAGAAGCAGCAAGAGAGTGATTTAAATAAAAGCTATATTAAGTATACGTTCGAAAAATTAAATGAAAATTGCATAGCTATCGAACTATGAAGCACAATAAATAGTTCAATGTACAATGTAATGCGCAAGCGGTGAGCGATATCATTATTAATTTATAAAAATTAAAATACAAACAAGCTATTCATCAATGTAACAGGTACAGGCAACTGATTTTATAACTTGACATACCAAATTTTTTTGCGGTAAGAATGAAGAATCAATATTACTTATTATCTTTCATCCACGCTATAGAAATTGCGGGCTAAGTGACTAATGCCAAAATTAATCAGAGTAGATCATACATGATACACACAAGCTTTTGTCCTTTGTAGAAAGTCCTTTGTCGAGCCGCGAACTCTATTTATTGGATACGATCTGCTAAGGACGTATATTCAATAAAATGCTTATAATACGTAAATATATCTATACGTATATAATCGGTACAAGAGTTGCGTGCTCTAGCCCTATCATATAATTAATCGATGGTCCAGGTGTCATCATAGCGCGATTCCCACGGTGCATCGCGTGACGACTCACTGAATCTCATGGAATACTATGTGAAATAATTGTATCATTAATGTGTCCTGTCTATCCCTACGATGTAGCACTCTCCGAACACTATTCGTGCAAATGTTACATCATGCTATCGAGACAACTCATGACCATCGTTAAAATATGTAAAAGTATAATTGACGAAATTATAATACCTACATTAAATATTGTATTAATTATCTCCGCTCTCCCTTATTCGATGTTTATTTTAAGAGAAACATAAACAAAGGGGGCAGCTAGATTGCATTTGCGAATCACACCATAGCAAATTGAGAGTTAGCACTTTGTAAACAGGGAGGCAGAGTATATTAGAAAACCATTAAGTATTCGCATTTCGCCCCCCTTTTTACGCTCTTAATACTTGATTCGTAAGAGCATTATCACGTTTCTTTTATTGTATAGTGTACAAAAAATGGATACTTAACATGAATACATGTATATTTATTTTATCGTGAGTTCAATATTTATACTTTTTTATCGTTATTTTTCTTTAGTTAATAATAACGCTGAAATATTTGTTTGATAATTCAATATTTTATTGTAAGTTTGACCTTCAAATATTTTTTATCGTTACTTTTCTTTAGATATACCTACATATATTAATGCTAAAATATTTTTTAGATTTATGATAATTCTAAGTATAATAGAAGATAAAAAACCGCAATCCACAGCAAGTGTGCACCACGTAATCTTTTCAATTAATACAAACACCTTATCGAAATGTAATGTAGGATTTACAGACAGATTATCGCACACGTGCATGCGGCGGCCCCCACGAGACCTCTTCAGTTCTTGTTTACTTTGTTATTTAAGGAATAACAATTAATTGAATGCAAAATAAAATATATTTTTCAGAATGAATAAATTCTGATTATGAAATAAGAACTGGCTGTAGTAATTTTTAAACATTTAACACTTTTGACAGCAATAAATATATTTCAGTTATTTTAAAGTTATTATTGAATTTAGTGGATATTTTTTATTTATTTACCTGAATTTTATTATTTTATATGCTTTTAAAATGCCTATAAAGATTTTATTGGCAAGACAAATATTCGATGCAACAGGGATACCCACCGTTGAAGTTGATATGGTAACGGAGTTAGGTCTGTTTAGAGTCGGAGTTCCTTCTACCGATATGAAAAAAATAGCCGAAGCAATACAACTACGTGACTATAACCCTTCTGAGTATTTCGGCATGGGCGTCCAAAATGCAGTTAAAAACATAAACACCATTATTGCTCCGGAGCTTATCAAGAAGAATCTAGAAGTAACTATGCAAAAGGAAATCGATAATTTTATGATGGCTCTCGATGGCACGGAAAATAAGTCAAGACTCGGGGCGAATGCTATTATGTGTGTTTCTCTAGTAGTAGCAAAGGCAGGTGCAGCAAAAAAAGGCGTTCCTCTTTATAGACACATATCTGATATGGCTGGAGTCACAAGTATTATATTGCCAGTGCCACATTTTACAATTTTAACAGGTGGCATCTTGAGCAATAACGGATTACCTTTTCAGGAATATTTGATAATGCCCACTGGAGCTTCATCTTTTGTAGAAGCGATGCGTATTGGTACCGAAATATATCACTATGTTAAAAAAAGTATAATCGCTAAATATGGCGTCGAAGCGTCGTATGTCAGTGAATCGGGAGGCTTTTCTATACCATTACAAAGTCATAGAGATGCACTTGTATTTGTAACTGACGCTATAAAACAGTGTGGATACATAGGAAAAGCTGAAATAGCTATTAATGCTGCCGCTACTGATTTATACAAAGATGGTGCATATGATGTGGAATTTAAAAACCCAAATTCAAACCCCCAAGACTACATGTCTTCGGATAAGCTAGCTGAAGTTTATTTAAATAATATTAAAGAGTTTCCAGTGTGTTCCATAGAAGACGGCTTTGAATTTGATGATTGGGCAGCATGGTCAACTCTTACAGCGCGCACACAAAGCCAATTATTTGGTAATGATTTAACTCAGACAAGCCTCCGAAGAGTGGGGTTAGCTGTTGAAAAAAAAGCTGGCAATACCGCTGCTCTCAGAATAAACCAGGCTGGTACATTATCTGAAATAATAGAAGCCTATAAATTGCTGAAATCAAATGGATTTGGCATAGTTGTATGTGACCGATGGGGAGACACGGATGATTTATTTATAGCGGATTTAGTTGTAGGTCTCTCCGCTGGACAACTAAAATGTGGGGCTCCAGCTCGATGTGAACGTATTGGAAAGTACAATCAAATTTTAAGAATTGAAGAAGAATTAGGAGCATTATCTAAATATGCTGGCAAAAACTATAGAGGTCAAATGTAAATTTAAAGTCAGTTATTACTTATATTAAAGATCTTAACAAAAGAACATGCTGTTTTATTATAAATAATTAAAAAAACTATAATACACTAATCACACAATTGTAGAAGGCAACGGCGTGACAAGTGGTCAAATTACCGGAAATAATAGTGTAGATAGTTATTAGTGTGTCTACTTTAAAAAAATATGACTAGCGTGTCGCATTTGTCGATACTTCATAAAATTATATTCTTTTTAATAGATTTAAAAACTGTCACATATAAAAACAATATATTGTGCTGAAAGTATAATATAATGTCAATATAAAATATTTTTTGATAATATTGTAAATCGTTCAATAAATTATAAAACATCGGGAATACGTAACGTTTATAATTTGTTATGCTTAGTAACCTCACGCACCTTGAGGTTATAAATTGTTATTGTAAAAATGGTCTTTATTAAAAAAATAATCGAGTGTACAGGTCAACCCTATCGGCGGTTATAAACTGTGGGGCTATGGGTCATAACAGCGCGCACGTGCACCACCCTCGAACAATCGCACCCCATTTCACCACATTCGCAATGTTTAGTTAGACCCCCGGGAGTTATATTCACTATCTTTTAAATAATTGCAGATAAATAAAACTTAAGTTTACGCTCGCTTAGGGCTCGTAAGCGTTGAACGGGCATAATCAACTCTACATAAGTTAACACTTACCATTTTTAATCATTAAAATATTAAAAATTGTGGTATATTGTCAGCCAATATACATATTATAAAAAAGGCAAGAATAATTTAGTGCGTATTGAATTCGTAGACACAGTACTCGTTGTTGTAAATATTTTGGAAGCATGTAGGTAACTCTAATAAATAATAGTCTCTTAGAAACCTGTACCTAATTTATAAAGATATGTTTATCCAAAGATACCCCGTAATGTATGTAAACGTTTCACCCTTAATTACATGAAATTCAAACTTATTTATTTTTTTAAATTGCCTACAAAGTTGTTTAATGATACACGTCATTGTCGTATCATCTAACGGTTACTATCTTTTCAGCTCTATTGTATCAAGAATCCGCAAGTAAAACGACTGTGTCATATGGACATAAGGAAATGACAAAATCATAAGAATTTCGTTTTGGTCTATTTATTTCCTTAAACCCTAAAAGCAATGTAATGTACAGAAGTTAAGATACCTTTGTACTTTCAGGTAGCAATTTTCAAGCTCATTCTTTGTCATGGTCGCGACGAGGTGAACGGCCTGCTGGAGGAACACTGCACGCGAAAATTTGGATCCCAGAAGATCCGAGAATGTTTAGTAGCTCTACAAATGTAATTGAAAAAGAAGAACTAAGATAAAGAAACTTTAGGTACCTAATATTTCCATAACGAGCGATCTCATTATTTCTAGTCATCAAATTTAAGCGATTTTATTGTATTTAGTCAATTATAATTTGGCTCAAGCCTTGTTTCACTTAAGACCAACGCTCAAGTAAAAGCTTGGTTATTATTTATTGAAGTACGTAGCTTGACATCTTAATTATGTATGTACACATTCATGTGGTCTGTAAGTGAAAATATGAATTTGTAATTTACCAAGCCCTATGTATTACACTAAAAGTCCTATATCCATTATATGTAGGTATAATTAAATAAAAACGTTATGCTTCTATTCTACGTACTTAATATGGCTATTTTTTACCCACCCAATACTAAATAAGGCGCTCTGCTACACAATTTCAGTACAGAAAACAGATGACAAAATTCCCAAGGGGAACTGCCACTTTGTAGGAATGAATCTAACGTTGAAAACATAAAGATAAAAAAATATTCTGATAATTAGTATCACTAATAACAAAACTATATATTTTTTCACTTAACAATAATAATAATAAATGAGTTAAAGAGTTTTTTTTTATCCAACTAGGAGTATCTATATATGTAAGTATAAATAGTCAAAGGCAAAACAGTTCTCCTCTGTTTGTAAAACCGATTTTTTATTTTTTTTTGTTTAGTAGCTATTGAATAGCTTTGTGTTATCAATAAAAGCAGTTTTTTTTAAAGAGATAGGTAAAAACAAAAAAAGTTAGTAGGAAGTATCTATTACAAAGAAAAACAATAATTATTATGGTCAAAAATTGCACATTGGGCTTGGCGAATAGTGAAGTTAGAAAGCATACATTTGCTTTTGAAAGCTTTTTAACGTATATTACATTACATACATATCCAGACGCAGAAAAAATAAGAATTTAATAAGTATTTATATTCATGCAAGTCATTGTTAACGTAGTGTCATATATTATTTCAACATGATATTAAAATAAATCATAAGTACGTATTCCAAAATAATTAAAACATACAAATACTTGCTACTTTTAATATATTTATTTGTAACTAGCGACTCACCCTCGCTTCAATCGGGTTCGTCCTGAACTTCATTCCCCATACAAATTTTCATCCCCATAGGGGATGATTTCCGGGATAAAAACCTTTTCCTATGTCCATCCCAGGATCTCAAATTATCTTCTTACCAAATTTCACCTTAATCGGTACAGTAGATCCAGAGATTACCCCCGACAACGTCACAAACTCACAATCTTACAAACTTTAAGCCTCTTTATAATATTAGTGTAGACTAGCGACTTACCCTCGTTTCGCTCGGTTTTTGTTAAGATCTTCATGGGTTTAAATATTTTTGCGCGTGTGCCAGTGAAGTGTTAGTGTAAGTCCCGTCAAAATCGGTCTAGCTATTTCGGAGATCAGCCGGAATAAACAGACAGACAGAATCTTAAAAATTGTTTTTTTTTTGTTTCAAATACCGTAGTTACTTTTTTGATAATACAAACAGACATATTTATTTATTTGTATAGATTAGATAAGAGCAATTTGACATAGTTATTAACATTTCAAAACAGGCGTTTCGGCGTGAACTAAATATATATATTAAACGTCCATCAAAAATTTTAAAGAGAATAATATTATGAATGTGAAAATGCAAAGACTCAATACAACGTATTAGTTAGTTCCTACATAATTAAAAACAAATAATAATGAACAAATAAATTCTTTTCTAAAAATGAAAAAATGGCCAAAGCTAGCTTAGGTACTAATACTAGGCACCTGTTATTGTTAGAAAAATAATACATACCTCTGTTTTGTTATAATTTCCCGGACTATTTAATATTGAACGAACTGAAAATTAGAGGCTTTGGGCGGAGCTGGATCAATATAAAGAGAAGATGCGGATTGGTTACAGATGTCCGTTCCCACCGCCTTCCACACGAATATCGCTAGTATTTTGAACAATTTTGCTTACATTAATAGTAGTTCCCTGTGTAGCACCTACTATTATTATTAGTACACTTCTAACATAAGCGATAATTATTAAGATAAAAATGTTTTTATTATAAACTGAAGATACTTACAATTTATATTAATAAATAATCTTTGTTAAAAAATGTTATATTTTATTAGTACCTACCTTCTTAATAGGTTTTAACTGCATTTCCCCACAGAAATTTTTTTTCTCAGACTGCAACCACTAAGCAAGATTCCTATTATACAGGATGGATTTTTGAGACGGGACAGTAAGGGCAAGTACCTTAACTGCTATGGTTACAGGAAAACGTTCCTAGGAGACCGTTCATAACTTTTTACTTATTTACAACTGCATTCACAGATTTTGGAAAAAATGAAATTGCCGATTTGTACAAAAAAAATAAATTCATTTTTTTTATTTAACATATTTATTTAATCAAAATAATTACCATTATTATCTATATATTGCTGCCATCTAATAGGAAGGTAATTTATGCCTTTGCGATAGAACTCTGGTGATCTAGATTCGACAAACTGTGTGAAAGCATTTTGTACTGCCTCCTGAGAAGAAAACTTTTTATCACGTAGAAAATTGTCAAAATCACGAAAAAAATGGTAGTCCGTTGGAGCAAGGTCTGGCGAATACGGAGGGTGACGAATGGTTTCTAATTGCAATTCATGTAGAGTTAAAACGGTGTCTCGTGCTGTATGAGGTCTCGTGTTATCATGGAGAAATAATGGTGAAGATCGATTCATGAGTCAGGTCTATTTCACTGCTACGGAACTGCGTCGGAACTCGTATTCAAAAATCATAACATAACGTATAAGTATATTATGTACTAAAGTATATTTTTAGTTTTATTGTATATTTTTTCTTGTAAATATAAAATGTATATAATTACTAACTACATACAGGTACCTACCGACTTATAAAGATCTGTCAAGCCAGCCTGAAAAGAAAGTTTTAAAGCTTTTTGATTAAATAGCTAAAGTTAACAATAACTACAGTTAATAATTAATTTTAATTAGAGTTAAAATACTCAGACTGCAGTATTAATTATTATGTATGCCTATAGACAAAGCCCCCAAAAAATGTCAAAGTCAATAAATAGATACTTATAAACATAAAAAACCCGACTGCATAGAAGCTAACTACAAAAATGAAAACAAGTTGACGAATGAATATACTTAGTATTATGCAATCGTAGACATATGTACACGTTTCATCCTTGCCGCAAGATGTACATACTCGACTCGTAAAATGTAAACCTAAAAATGATTTTTAAATAGGTACCTACTCAACGATACTCCACTTGACATAGTTCGTCGATTTTCATTTTTTTCTTTTTCACGTTATGGAATCTAGCAGACATCCACCGGGACCGTTTTTTATCTATACTAATATTATAAAGAGGTAAAGTTTGTGAGGTTTTAGGGGGTAATCTCTAGATCTACTGAACCGATTCAGATGAAATTTGTTAAGAAGATAGTTTGAGACCCTGGGAAGGACATAGAATATTTTTTATCTATGAAGTCGTCCCTTGCGAGGGTAAAAATGAGGATGAAAGTTTGTATTGGGAAGCAAGCTAGGGACGAACCCGAGCGAAACACAGTTGAATCGCTGATGTATACTTACATATAATAAAATTGTAACTCAGCCAAATCTGTACATTAAATATTTTTTGGAAAATATTATTGAAATAGACATTATTATCGACACAGAGGCCGAATCTATAGTTTTTAAAAATTTTGTGTCTGTCTGTTACCGCATCACAGAAAAACCACTGGAGGAATATTGATGAAATTTGGTATGGTGATAGCTGGTTATCCGGGTCAACACATAGGATACAATTTTTACCGCGGGAAAATATCTCATTTCTGAGAAAAAATACAAAAATATATTATGGTAAGCTTCACTTAACATTTAATTTCTTTTTTCATTTATTTCAATCGGCTCATAAATATAAAAGTTAGGTATATCAATTTAAAGAGTTATCTAATTAAATTAATCCGAAAGAATCGAGGATGAGCTGTTAGTAGGTATGCGAATATTATATATCTATAGGTAAAAGCAGTCTACTAATCCATAGTCTTCTATGAAATGTTTCTAGAAAGGTCAATAGTGCCAGGCGTGCGAGGTGAGATTCGGGTACTCGGACTTTAGGTTTCATGTTACACTTTTTAAGTCGTACAATTTTCTAGTACCTTGTTTTGATGTATCTCTTAAGGTTTAGCCAGCGTTTGAAAAATAAAATTCCAAGAATGATTCGATAGAACCAGTTATTTTGTTTTCCCGTGGGAATGAAAAAAATTCTTTTAGTAAAAGGTATCCTAAATGTTGACCTGAGTAATAAGTTATTACTATACGTATACAAAATTTAGTTAAAATCGGTTCAGATCTTTTTGCGTGAAACGCCCGCACATAACTGAACACAAACAGACAAAAAATTTACTTGTTATGGGGTCTATATTCTGTACACATTGTTACGATCATTGCTTTTACAAAATATTTCATGTACAGATTTCGCTAAGTTATTATTTTAAACCGACGAAAAAAGCAGGTTCTGATTCACTAGTATATTTTTTTTCTTTTATGTTTAATCACGCTTAACTTTTTACAGTAAAGTCCGATTTCGATGATTCTTTTTTTATGGATAGGGTATACCCCAAAGGTGACCCCATTTAAATTTGACAAAAAAAACCCACCCCTAAATGTAGAAACTAGGGGACGATTGATTTTACAGCTACTGAATTTTTTTAAGTACTTTCTTCTTACTTTGTCTACACCAAAAATTGAAAAATAAAACTTAAAAAAAACAAATTTCGAAAAAAAGCACTAAAAATAAGTGATTGGTAGTTTTTATTTACTATAGATACTAATCTAATCAGATATTTTCGAAGTCGGTGGCAGCCGATACAAATCTAAGCTTACATCACAAGCTGATTAATATTTTAACTATAATTAGGTTCATATCATAATATGAGGATATGTAAACATATTATGTTTACCTATTAGATATTCATATCTTAACGCATAGTCGGCTATGATAATATTAAAATAATTCTGTTCTATGTACATAAATTCATAGGCAACCAGTACCTAATTAATAATTACATATTAATAAATAAAAAAAACTTGTTCTTGTGGGTATTACAGGGTAAATATATAAAAGTCGTAGTTTGAACAAACAAGAATTTTATTTCTGTATTTGATATAGCGGAAGGAAATGTACAGCTTCTTTTTATGGAAGTTACAACTGTATCATTGTATCTATATCATTAAATTGACAAGAAGATATTTATGATACTTCAAATAGGAAGTTAGGTGAAAATAAAGATGTTTTGAAAATCCATTTGATTGATAATAAAATTAGACTCCTATGTGTACAAAGTGTTTCCATCTAAATATATTTAGGAAATAATATGAGTATGAAAGTAAATTTTCGTAATGGTTTAAATTATGAAGTAGGTAGCTATGAAAAGTTTTCAAAAATAATAATATATGAAATCGGTTCTTAATCACATAAAAAAAGTCGTATAGAATCATATCGATAACGCGAGATGAGAAACGTATTTAGTATAATGAATATATTTGGAAAAGAAAAATGCTTATCAGAATTACTTAACTACAGTTTAAACACAGTTTAATTACTATTATGTGTAGTATGTATTATTATTAAATTATTACAATGTATTACTTTATAGCTACAATAGTCTGGACATTTTAAGAAATTTCAAAAGAGATTTTCTATTTTTATTTATTATACCTACTCACATCTGCATTTAAAGAGCACTGAAAAATTTAAAAATGACCATATTTTAGTAAATTTCTTTAACTTTAGGTGTCCATCGAGAAGTCTTTAGTTCATAATATTTAGTAAATAATTATATTTTTTAAGGAACATCCAATAAGGCTAAGTATAATTTGTTTTTTATTTATTATTTTTATTGTACAATACAATGATTGTCCAATTACAATAAGTGCCTTTAATATGTACTCATATATTTATTAGTCCAAAAACTTTATCAATATTTTATTTTAGAACAATTACTATCACCATATCGCAGTACCTAAAGCCTAATTACGATGACCTTAGCTTTGACTTTAAAAAAAAAATCTAATATTGATGGATGTAGTCTAATATCACACTAACATTTGCAATGTATAGTTAGTAGTATACTTGTAAAATGGTCTAATATGATAGCACTTATCTTACGTGTAACAACCATGTGTGTAGTAATAAGCACAGCCCACTACACTGTACTATTTATAAACAATAGATGTTTATATTGATTACGCTTTAAATCAATACTTATTAAACATTAATAACCCTCATTCATATTGTCTAAATACAATTTTGTTTTTGTCGACAAATCTTAATAATTCTCTTTAAAACTAAACACATACATAAGTCATACACGGTAGGTTCACTGCAAAAGCTAAGGTTACATAAGTCGATTCTTCCTAATACATCATTATTTGCAGTATACCTTCCAATCATATCCATAAGCCCGAAACCATTTCACCCTCATTGATTGTGACAATTGTAGACTCTCTCCTCTAAAGGATCCACTAATAATAATTATATTCTATTGTATGAAAGACAAAAAGCCTCAAGGCTATATATACCTTTACACCATGCACCATACACAATTTCCATATGAGTGATAAGGACACTACTAAAAATTCATCAAAACCTACCTATGTGAAATATCTTACATATTTATTGAGATGGTGACAACATTTTAATTCCTTTTATAAGAGCAGGCTTATAAACAAATGCCCACGGCAAAAACAATACAAAGCCTGAGAAATATAACCTCGAGTAAAGATGCCACCATTTTGAGAATACTTTTAGATCAAACGGAATTAGACTCCAGCCCATGAAGACTATAGTGTAAATCTTAAGGGACCCATAAAGTAAATACTTGGCAGGTGATGCCCAAAGCTTATGATATATTTCAGATTTAGTGACAATACTTTCAAATTCTTTCTCCATATATATAATGATGAATTCATTGAAGAAAGTCATGTAATAGCCAGAACGAGTACCATGCCACAATGCGAGAAATAGTAATGTAAAGAATTGGCTGAGATTTCTATTACCAAGAAACCTTAGCCGCTTGTATATATACTCTGCTGCAAAATGGTTAGTGTTGCAATTAAAACTATCTATGTAGTGTTGGAATTTCGTAGCACCTTCGAACCTCATCAGTTTAATGTTGTTGCAAGCATCCCATTTGGACACTTCACCCATTTCAGTTTTCTCCATACCATTGAAGGATAGTCCAAAACGAATGCATGAAGCTGAAAGAATATCATAATTTTTTATACATAATGTGTATATCGATTAAAATAGGTAATGAGATGTTCATTTGTTATTTTTACATGCCATTTTGTTATACAAGAATACCTAGATGATAAGCAGAAGATAAAGACAGCAAAAAAGAAAGCAAATAACATAAGCTAATAAAAAACATAATAGATAATATTCTCTAAATAATGCATCATATGTATCATAAATACCTTCAGTAAGTAGCCAACAGGAAATGTATTTGTATAGAGCAAAATGTGCCCACAATCCACTATAAAAGTGACGGTAAATGATTGATGTTTCAGAGAAATCATCAGAAAGCATATACTTCATATCAAAAACAGAAACTGAAAGAAAACAGAATATATTATAATTAATTATAAAAATAGTACTTTGTAGTAGTAGTTCTAATATAAAAAGTTATTCCATTAAATATTTATCCTTAATCAAATCAAAACATACAAATTACAATAAAATTTAATATGCATCATGTCAAATATCTATATAAAATTTTTAATAGTCATATACTAACTTCCAACTTGAAATGCCACTAGATAGGCTAAGCCCTGGAACAATCTTTTCATTGCTTGATCTTCTAGCGCATGAGCTTCTCTTTCAACAGGGAATTTATCAGATACAAAGTCAAGGTATCGTCTAAATGAGAAGATGGGACCCACAAGAAAACAGGCAGGAAAGTATATAAATCCAATCAGTTCTAAAAAGCTTGGTGAAAATTCTAGAGCAGTTAGTTTATTAGTGTCAGAAAGCTTTTCTCCTTTTAACATTTTTTGGCCATCCCACAAATCAAAAGATAAAGCAATCAATTTTAAAGTCAGTACACAGTGAGGCATTGTCCAAGTGATGTCATATTCCTCAGATTCTGTCTGAACGTACCCAATTAAGAGGTACGACAAATTAAATATAAATGTGATAATTGCATTATTTTTTCCAGGTCCTAATACTTTTGTTGTCATATAAATTACCAAAGCTGGTACAACATTGTGGTAAAAAGATATACCAAAATTACATAAACTTATATCTAATCCAGTTACAATGAAATAAATATTTCTATATTCACTATGTTTTCTTACATATTTATTATAGATTACTCCCAAAGGATATCCTAACAAGATTGAAATAAGAAGTTTTAATGCTGGTTCAGTTGTTCCAATGAGGTTTGCTGCTATTGGCACAGGGCTAAGGCCTATCCAGCCTAGGAGAGTCAGAAATAGGCCAAACATGTTGCTCAGCTATCTGCTAACAAAAAATGAAATACTTCTTTAACAATAAAAAATTCATTCATAATTTTATAACTCTTGTTATTTAAGCAGAAAATTCCAGGTTTAAAAGACATGAATATTCAATTCATCTCATCTCAGTATCAAACTGGTTAAACTTGAAACTCCAAAAAAAAGTTGTTCAATGGTACAACTCCCTTTTTTCAAATTTGCATAATAAATTTGGTCGCAGCTAAAAATATTTGAAGAACCTTTGTAAAGGAATCAGAAACTTGCTGAATACGAAATTATTTAGTGGTGAAAAAATGAAAAATTAAGATCTTCAGTAGTATTTACTTATTTATTTACCAAAAAAAAATCTCAGGATTCATATAGACAAGTTAGATATAGTTTTATGTACTTACTAATAAATAATGTAAAAATGATTAAATATAGTGTCACTTGTTGTACATTACCTAAACTAGATGTTTATATATCTAACAGCTTTTCGTCAAAAACAATAAATTTAAAACTTGAAATGGGCAGGATCTTCGGAAAATGGATGTAATAAATAGAGGTCTTTGTGATTGAATTGTGATGAAATAAAGGTCAAATTTAGTTAATAAAAAGTGGGACACATTTACATTGGGAACACTTTGCAGTTGCACAGATCACAGATGTAAAAGTTAAAACAAGAAATTGAATGTCAAACTAATACACAAAAAGTGCTGCCATCTTTTCTATAATTATTATAATATAAATCCTTTAATTAAATATACTAGTGACTTATCCCCGCTCCGCTCGGGTTTTAATGTTTAGTTATTAGTCTATACTGAGATGAGAGATAGATGAGATTTCACAGAGATGAGATACATTCCCGCAGTAAAAAGTATCCTATATGTTGACCCCGATAACCAGCTATCATCATACCAAATTTCATCAAAATCTGTGCACTGATTTACTTGTGATGCGCTCCCAGACAGAAAGACCGAAATTCAAAAATTCTAAAAACTATAGATTCGGCCTCTGTACCACCTTCAGGTAAATTACTAAGAAATTAATTAAATTTCTAAGAAATCTATTGCTAACTGTAACGCCGGCGTGTCCGTGGTCGTTGAGGGAATAATAACTATTACAATAAGATTTTCCAAAAAATGTTTTATATACTGACTCAGTAAGAATTTTATTAAAAAGGATAATATGTATAAGTTTAGTATAAATTCGTATCGTGTCGAACCATTTGGAGCCACTTTTCACCTCGTAAAAACTCAAATTCTATTTACCATAAACTCATGAAGTTTGGTTAATTTATTAAATCTCCTTAGATTAACTAGAATCCTCAATTTCATAAATACAGCTCAAACGGTTATTGAAATATTAACGTATACAAATCGGCATTTTTATCACTGACTGATTGACATATAGAAGTAAAACTTAACCCACTTCCCGGTGACCTAAAAGTTCAAATTTGGTGTCCCGATGGGTCATCATGTGCATACAAAGGGAAAAATCCGAAAACAGTAAATTTTGAATTTTTGGAAAAAACAATTATTAGCCCCCTGCGCCCCCCAAAACATATAGCAATAGCTTAACATCGCTAGCTTTTGAAATATGATAGCAATAGCAATCACAGTAATAGTAAAAACTTTTTCTTTCTCAGAAGAATAGGCTCTATGATGATTAAATAATATTTTCCTATACCGCCTTATCCATTAACTAATAGTCGCAAACTTACGACAAAAAAGATTGAATTTACTATTTAATTTATGTTACGTTGGAATTATGAATAATAATAGTTTCTTTACTCAATTAGGCCTCAATTCTTTTATCGTTGAAGTTGACAACCATGCATATTCTTAATATTGAACTTGGCTCCCATTTTCACATTTATCTTTTTGATGGGATTTATATTATTCTAAACAGAGGTGTAAAGAAGTACAAATTCATATTTATTTTAATGACAATACAAATGGCAAACTACGCTCGCTTATTGGTAGGTCCCTTAGTGCACTTTGGTTTTAATTTTTTAGATGGTACTTACTAGTTGCTTACTTTACTCTGTTGTCTGTGAATGCATTTTTGATTTACAAATGTACAATGAGACAACAATTTGTGCAATGTCTATTAATAATCTGTGATTTTCATAAGTAGACTGTGTAGCCCACTTAGGGATTCCCCCCAAATTTAGGGAGAAAGAAATTGCACAGGAGAGTTTTAGGGGGTTTTTATGGGGAGGGGGAGGGGAGGGGCGGGGGAGGATTTTGGATGTTTGGTTTAATGGCATGACTTAAATTTAAATAACTTTAACGATTCTTTTTATTTGTATATAAAAGTATTTTTTAAATAATTATCTTTCCAAATAGTCTGTGAAAAAGTGCGACGAAGCAAATCCTTAACTTTGACATTTGCAAATGATCGAACTTTTTGATGAGTTAACTATTTTAATTTTTGTATTATTATTTACTTTATAATAAATATGGCATCACTAGTGGTGCCATATTGCCATAATATGCATAATGCCATAACTGGTAACATTTCTGAGTTTGAGCTGCTAACCAATATAGCCAACTTAGGCGCTTTCCCCCCAAATTTAGGGATAAAAAATGGCACCGGGGATTTTTAGGGGGCAAAAATTAGGTTCTTTGTTTAGGGGTTCATAAAGTTTCGGTTAAAGACTTGAAAAAAATTATATCTCATTTTTTATTATTTTCTAAGTATCTATGAAATTTATTATTATTTTTAGTTGGTTTTATGTAATTATAATAATAACTAGCATTGCTCGCGACTCCACCCACGTCCAGGTGATGAAAAACCAAATTCTTAGGTTTTACATACTAGTATATACTTACAGTGCGGTTTTTGTATTTTTTTCTCAGAAATAAGATATTTTCCCGCAATAAAGAGTATCCTATATGTTGACCCGAATAAACAGCTATCATCATACCAAATTTCATCAAAACCTGTGCAGTGGTTTTCTCGTGATGTGGTAACAAACAGACAGACAGACAATAATTCTAATAACTATAGAATCGTACTCTGTATCGATATAATGTCTATTTTAATTAGATTTTCCAAAAAAATATTTAATGTACAGATTCGACTAAATTACAATTTTAATATAATGTATAGATAACCACAAATAAGTTTTTTACGCTACTTGCAATCATTAAAAATAAAAAAAATATTTTTTAAATTAAAAATAATAATATTAGATAAAATCCTATATTTTTCAAACTGTCACTTAGGAGTTAGGACTTAGGGGGATTTATAGGGGTTTTTGAAATTACTTTTAGGGGGATAAAATTTCAAGTGTTGGCAGCACTGTTGGTAGCGGAGCGGATCGTTGACATGGCGAAGTAGACATGGGTAACTCAATGAATTTTTATGAGCTGCAGTTCAGCTCATGAGTCATATGCTTGAACCGGAGCTGTGAACCGGCTCACAGTTCAGCTCAATTGATGTTATATGGGTACTTATAACTATAGATTTACAGCTAATTTATGACTCTGTTCAAACAAATGACATGTATGATGTACCTAAATTATATTTGTATGTAATAAAGCAGCATTTCGAAAAAAGTTATTATAGTCATATTTTTTCGTTCTTACACAATTATAGGGGAATGCTAATTTCATGCAATTATTATAAATGCTAGTGAGTTTGTTTGTTTGTTACGCTTTCACGCCTTAACTATTCACCTGAATCCCGATTATCATTAAATACAGACAGAAAAGGACAGAGTACCTACCTACTTTAATTAACGTAGGTACCGACTACCGTAGTTTCCTGTATCACGCAAGCGGAGCCGCGGGCGAAAACTAGTTATTTATATTTAATCTATAAAACTATTACTTAATATTAGTTTATTGTTGTATAAAACTAAGTAGTAGAACTGCCTTCCGAGACGGTGGTAACTTCCGCACAAACTAACTACACTGAAAATTTAAAATGTAAAATTGACGATTCAAAAGTGCTTGTAAAAGTCTATTTGAATAAAGTATATTTAGATTTTATCCTAATATTATTTTAAAACACGGAGCGTGTAATTAATTATTATTATTATAAGAATAAAAAATATTAAACAATTAATTTGACCTGTCTGTAAAAAGTATAGATTATTCATTATAGACTATAGTACAGGTCCGTCGGCTCGGGTCCATCGAAATAGCTGACGTTAGGTGGCGCTGAAGTGATGCACGGAGCCATATTAAGTAATATTGAGCTGTGAACCGATTATCTAGCAACTGAGCCGCAGCTCAACGGCTCTAGCTACTGTGAACTGAATATTTGAACCGGCTCTGAGCTGAGTTACACATAGTGATGGCGAAGTGATAGCAATATTTTTTGCTAAAGAGTAAAGACGGTAATAATTATGAAGATTATTTAGTGCTAGTTAACCTATTATATTTTTAATTTTACTAAAATTACTATATCTTAACTATTATTTTTGTGGTTTACATGTTTTTACATTATATAAAATCAAAACAAACAAAAACGTTAATTACTGATAAAAATTCATGCTTTTAATAATTATTATTATTATTAAACGCTAGGTTTTTGTTTATTAAAATTTATTCGCATGATAGAGTTAATATAAAAAATATATTCTGTCAACGAAGTCGTAAATTAATCTCCATTTGTTACAGAGTATCATATTATTTATGCGTCATAATGGAGTCTGCCGGCGATTGGTGTCTAATTGAAAGTGATCCTGGAGTATTTACTCAATTGATAAAAAAATTTGGTATGTTAATTTAATGTGTACTTTAGAAAATTAAAATTTAAAATACCGAATTTCAGTGAAAATGAACATTGTGGCATTTTTTAACATTAAATGTATTAGAGACAAAAACCAATGCTGATTTCTCAATATTTGTATGAAATTGACTTATGGCAAACATGTTAGGCTTTAGTTAAGTTTGAGTTGAGCCAACAATAGTTGTCGGGTTTTCCATCAATAGAAGTTTCCAGTATCAAACATAAGTTAGGATTATATACCTAATTTCTTGAGAGTTTTATTTCTCACATCATATTTTCAAAACAAAAAAACAAAGAGTGACCATTTGTTCACTATAATCCTTTGCAAATAATAACTATTTGGTGCCAACCACGATAGCCATATCAAGGCCAAAATATTTGATCAGGCTTTATTTTGTATATTGTAAGCAAACTTTTTGATACAAGAAGAATTTTATCAGAAAGAAAATTACTTACACAAAGTATTTCATAGGTGTAAATGGGGTTCAAGTTGAAGAACTATGGTCTATAAATGAAGATGGAGTATTTGATGATCTAAGGTATTCTACTCAAATCTATTCCTATATTCTATAATTTAGAACTCCCTGTACTCAAAATATATGCATACCTCTATTGTTTAAATAACTAACTCAGCCAGCTAACTTTTAAGAAAATATGGTAATTTCAAATGCATGGTTTAATATTTAATATTTATTATCCTTGTAATTATAATATATATAACTGTAAATAAGAAGTATCCAATATCTACATCTTGATTTTTGCTTATTATATTTTTAGGATTTATACAATACATATATATGCATTGATAACTAATAATTACTTTATTGCTGATTTAAACACTAGACTAAATTGTTAAGAGTGCTATTGTTCAAGTTTTGACTGGTGGTGGAGTTCTAGGCTCAATTATAATCCTAACTTTTTTATTACTTTGGTTTCAGACCAGTTCATGGCCTCATATTTCTATTTAAATATCTGCAGCATGAGGAGCCACCTCATCCTGTTGTAAAAGATAAGCGTCTTGAGAAGATTTTCTTTGCTAAACAGGTATTACAGTAATGTCACAACATTGTAATTATTATTATATAAATTGTTAAAATGATATATATTTCTTTGTTTATCACTTGTTATTTCAGCAGATTTGTTCAATTTATACATTTTAAATATTTTATAAGATATGAAACAAATATTTTATTTAATATGCTATAATCACATTTGTATTTTTAATTTAGAGAAATCTGGAAGCTAATAAGATAATCTAGTAATAATAAATTGAAGTATTTTTTTTTCAGGTTATAAATAATGCATGCGCAACACAGGCAGTTATAAGTCTTTTATTAAATTGTAATCATCCAGATGTGGATATTGGTCCAGAATTAACTAAATTAAAGGAATTCAGTATGTCCTTTGATCCAAAAATGCGTGGATTAACTCTCAGCAATTCCCAGACAATACGAAGTGCACATAATTCAATGTCACAACAAACACTTTTTGAATTTGATGCAAAAGCTCCGACCAAAGTATGTTTGATTCATAATGAATTAATAAGTAAGAATTTGATTTTAATGGTAATTTATTAATTTGTTATATTTAAATTTAGGATGAGGATGCTTATCATTTTATTGGCTATATGCCCATAGATGGGCGACTATATGAGCTTGATGGTCTCAGAGACGGGCCGATTGATCATGGTGCAGTAGCTCCAGACCAAGATTGGCTTGATGTTATTCGTCCAATAATTTTGAAGAGGATTAATGAGTAAGAAAATATTTTGCTTACTACATATCTTTTACATTTTTAATTTGAGATGTTCATCATATAAGTATGTTATAAGAAATAATTTCAACATTTATAACACTAAAAGGATCGCTAGACTTTAACCATAGATTACATAATTAGCTTATCTTTACAGATATAAAGAAGGCGAAATTCACTTTAATTTGATGGCGCTCGTATCCGACAGGAAGATGATTTACGAGCGACAAATCCAAGAACTAATGAATCAGACTCAAATGCTCGGCATGGAGACAGATGACTCGGAAAATGAGATTCGCCGTCTGAGGATGCTGATAGAGCTAGAGGAGAGCAAGATGGCCAAGTACCGGCGAGAGATGGCGCGAAGGAGGCACAACTACTTGCCGTTCATCATAACACTGCTGAAGATATTAGCAGAGGAGAAGAAGTTGTTACCGCTGTACGAGAAGGCCAAGGAGCGCGCGCTCAAGAAGGGGCCGAAGAAGGTGAAAGTATAACAGGAAGCATCGGGAGGGCGCCGGTCCGACCGACCGCGTCCCCCGCGCCTGCCCGCGCGCCGCGTGTCGCAGTCCAGCCCCTCGCGCGTGCTGCCGGCCTCCGAGCACCTGCAGTACTCGCTGGCAGACCTGGACGCCATCTTCACGGAGCCGCAGGAGCCCCCGTCGCACGCCGCGCTCGAGCCCCACTCGGCGCTCGAGCGCAGTCTCCTGGACCCGCCCGCAGACCTCGACCTGCTCGCTCCCGACGACTTCCTCAAGGACGTGATCCTCGAGCCTGGCCTCGACCCCGACCTGCTCGACGTGCAAGACATGTTCGACGACGCCATGATGATGGACGCATCGCTCGACGACGCGCCCGCCGCGGACGCCCTCGACCCCGACGACCTGCTCGTCGCGCCCCTCCGACGAGAACCGGACAAGGACGAGGACTGCGACAATGCCGACTAACTACACTACATTACACTATGTAAGTGAACACGAACCGACACCACCGTGCTGTTAGATATTATTGTAAAGCTAAATGGACAAATTAATATTATAAGATTCAATGAAAATTGTAATAAGTAAATGGAGGAATTATATAAATAAATAATAGTTGTACATGTCGTATTACACTGTTGTATACATATTAAGATTAGATTATTATAATATGTATGTGTAGCATGAAGTATATTCATTATTAACAATATCTTTCACTTGCTAATTTTTCCTCTCTCGTATGTTCTATGTGATTTCTCGTTCTCACTGCTTTTTAATGGTTTACATAAAATAATCATATAGAAATTACAATAGTAACATAGAATAAATAATATATTTAAAAATTTTATGTCTTTATTATGTTCATTGTAAGCTTATATAATAATAATTGTAAATACGATATGTACAGATAGATAATCATAACATAATGATACTTGTTATTGCAATAATGTGTTTAAAAAAATCTCTATTATATGACAAATATTTTTATAACATTTGGTGTGTTCGGTAAAATAGTACGTAATAATTAACTAACGCATGCAAAGTGTCTGCGAGGGGCGGTCTGATGGGCTTATGATAATTCCTTACATAGTCTTTATGGACTTAATCACTTCGGTCGCACCAAATGTATATATTTTCGTAACTATGTAGGAAAGTGTCGTATTGATGGTTGCTGTTCACTAGTAGCTAATTGCCAATCAAACACGCGCGGGCTTACTGGGCGCTCTGGGCGCAGGGCGGCGGACTGTACCATAAGTAGATTTTACAAATTATATAGTACATTACAATTGCTCCTAGTTATTAGTGTATGAGACGACGTAAAAAAGTACATTTGTTTATTGTTTACTTTGAAATAGGATGACCGTCGAATATAAAAAATGAAGGATCTTCTACTAATTAGAACATCTAACATTTCTTTTTAATAATTTTGTAAATTATTCAGATAATATCGAAAAGTTAAAACTTAATCTCAGTAAAATAAAATCAACTTTTTTATGTGGTCTTTTGTATGTAAGAAAATTTTACTGTTCTTATTAAAGATACCAGGCATATTTATGTACCATTCGCCAATTCCACTCCTGCATTTCCTCTTCACTTGGCCATCTTTTGTGTTAATAAATTTAGATGTCGGAATTGACTTTTTATTTAAAGCTCGTCTGAGATCTGCTTACTTTTACAAACAACATGAAAAAAATTAAACAGTATTCTTCATAATGATATATGCTATTTTTTGACACTATCAACATATTCTATTTTGAGCTTTCCTAAAAATTATTTTGCTTTTACTTCTTTTTTTTAAATGAGAAGTAATTTTTCAAGTAATTAAAAGTTTTCTAAGGTTTTCCATATAATTGTTTTTTTTTCTGCTTTTGAAATACACTTAATTAAGTTTTAATAAATGAAACATTACTGTTTTTTTAAAGTCTTTTTATTTATTGCAACTTCAATAATTGAAGCACAAATTATTATTACAAAAGGTTGTTGGTATCTAACATTGACATACTCTAATGAGAAGTAGCTGGTTTTGTAAAATATATTTTATTCTAAACTGGCGACTCACCCTCGCTTCGCTCGGGTTCATCAATAGGTACATTTTAATTTTTTTAACGGAACCCTAAATACTTTTACTGAAATAAAAGTAGCCTAAGTTACTCTTATAACATCAGCTATAATACATGCGTAACATGTACGGGTGTATTTTGTAAAATTAATATTTTATAAAAATATTGATACATAAGCAATAGTATTTAAATTTGTCAGCTAGTACGAAATAAAAAATCTACACCCTATTATTAAATAAAACTATCTTTTCGGATTATTTCGCGGATTTATTTTGATTTTTGGTTCCCGACGTTTCGAATGCTTTACAGCATCCATACAGCAACCTACAGTAGGCTGTCTGTAACAACTATACCTTTAAGACATGTAACACCTCAGTCTCTCCCGTGACCATGGATGCTGTAAAGCATTCGAAACGTCGGTTACCAAAAATCAAAATAAATCCGCGAAATAATCCGAAAAGATAGTTTTATTTAATAATGTCAAACATTCGCGTAAATCTAAGAAAGTACTACACCCTATTAATTATAAATATAAGATTCACTTGCTCATGATAATGTAGAAATAAAATCTATACATATAATAAAATTCTGAGTCGAATCTGTACATTAAATATTTTTTTGGAAAATCTTATTGAAACAGTAATTATAATCGACACAGAGGTCGAATCTAGTTATTAGAATTTTTGTCTGTCTTTCTGTTCGCATCAAGAGAAAACAACTGGAGAGATTTTGATGAAATTTGGTAAGATGATAGCTGGTAATCCGGGTCAACATAAACGATACTTTTTACTGCGGCAAAATATATCTGATAAATCTATACTAAACATTAAACCCCGAGTGGAGCGAGGGTGAGTCGCTAGTAATAAGAATATAATCGCGTCGTTGAACATAATGTAGATAAGTTATAGGAATTTAGTCATGTTTGTTACATTGCATTTATCGTGACTATTGGTAAAAAAAGCTGTATTAACTTTAAAGTAGGTATATTATAATAAACTTATATTTTTCGCGAAAGTTTCTATTTCTTATGCTATATATGTTGTTATATATTATTAAAAATAAAACCAACCAACTAAAAAAAGCAATACTATAATTGTGATTTGTAACAATTCACAAACATATTTATTTATAGTTTTCCAAAAAGGTCCCACCAACTTCATATGGTGGTTTCATATAAAGCAGCCATGGATTGGTTGGTGTTTCAAATTAGGAAATTGAAATCTTTAAATTACCATAGGAAAATGATAACATATCCTTCGTAACAAGAACAACTGCAATACGATCAACATTAATATGAAAATAAAAGACAAGACAGTGAATTAAAAAGATGGGAAACAAATTGGCGAAGGAACGAATTCATCATTTAGAAAACCATCTACGTCTAAAGTACTGGTATAATCTGTGGTCGAATTTCAATTATCGTATTTTATAGAGCAATAAACTTTATTTGTATTGCTTTTATTTAGTTTGTGCTTGGCGCGGACACGACCTTTTTCTATTTATAAATTATAGCACACACCACACAGAACCGCAACTTTCTTTTATTTAATAAGACACTTTTGAATTTAACTTTAATTTTTATGTCAAAACTCGATATAAGAAATAAAAACGATCACGTATCAGTATCTACATTTATATCTATCTTAAAAGAACTCTAATATATTTAGAAAAAGCAATCCCCGTAGATGTTATTAGTCTAAGACTACATTTAATATCTTATAAAGGTAGACAACTTACAAAAAAAATGAAATTTGTAAATGAAAACACCAACTAATAGCGAAATTATAGCGATTTTAATGCATTCTAACAAAACTCATATTTACAAATAATGTATAAAAAGAATTTTATCATTAATATGGTGTAGAAAAAAAGAGAGAAAAAATAGCTAAAACTACGTTGTACTTTGCAGTAAAAATTGTTCCACGCTTAAAACAAATTGTACACAATATTAATAGTGACAATTGGGCGAGTGTCAAAAGATTACAAACGAAGTATTTAGTTGTGTACCACAACATGAAACAACTCTATATACAATTCTTGAACCTATAATTAATCAATCATTTATTTTAAAACTCGTATCGTAATCAGACAAAACTCAAAAGTGAATTTTACATATGTATGAGACCAACTTTATGATTTTTTAGTTGAGGTCTGTATTATTATTTAATCAAACGTCTATATTTGTATAGCTTAAATTTTTACAATTTAATCAGTTAAGTGCAGTGTATCAAGTAAAGACCAAACTGGTAACACAAATTAAACATGTTTAATTTACAACATAAAATAGTAATATCTTAGGCTGTGGCCGAGGATCGTACTATTCAAATATCAGGTGGGATATGAACCCGCTCCATTCTGTTTGTTCACATGTTGACTACCAACAGCCGACATAGATTTTTTTAAACTACTAAACGTAAGTATGTTGCCAATTTTATATAATAAATTAGTCCTTCTATCATTTGACATAGTGTCTTTAAAAATAGGTGTAATGTACAAAATTAAAGGAAATTAATAGAACTTTACGTTTGCATGTGTCATAGACTAGCCATGTCTAGCTGTTGGCTATACTTAGTATGTACTTAGTTTTGGGGGTAAACAGAAAAAAAAAATGGATCCAATTTTAAATTTCCTTTCATCTAATCTGCCCAGAATAGGTATGTTATAAAAATTATATTTTAACAATTACAAAAATAACATTATGAAATCGAAAATAGTTATTAACATAAATTCGAAAATAGTTAGGATACCTTTTATTATAGAAAAACCTAATTCTTATGGGAAAACACAATGACTGTTTCTATCTATATCTAAGCCTTAAAAGATGCATCAAAATAATATACTAGAAAATGATAGGTCTTAAAGGCCTACAGAAAATTCCACGATAGCATGAGTGTATCTCCTCAGGTACACTCGGCAACAACTATTTATATTTCAAACAAGCGAAGCGAGGATGGGTCGCTATACTCTATTCACGGAGTGAACCATGTAAAGCGCTTTCTCTGTCCCACATTAGGATACAAACTGATAAGGACAGAAAACTGTCTAGCTCCGCCCACTAACACTTGCAACTGGTTTGAAATCATAGGACACATTCATGTTGCTAATGCTTTAGTGAAGAATTATTAATAATTTGTAATAAAATTAAATCAAAATGCAAATAAAATCAACATTCAGGTAAAATTAATTATATTTTTAAATATTTATATACATTATTTATTTTTACTTTCCGACGTATCATTGTCATCTCCTACATTGATAATAATTAATCAGGTAACTACACGAGAGACGTCTGAACGGTACGGAATGCAACGACGGACTAATTATGACTTGCATTGTAATCGCGGCCTAAGCGTCTTATTTGCAACTAATCACGTGGAAGCGCAAAATCTTAGTGCTTGGTTCATTCGGCGAATACAGTATAGTTGAACATAGAAGCAATGATAATATAGAAGGTACAATCAAAAAGTTTCTAAAGAATAAATTAAAAATAATTGATCAGTTATGGATTATTTTAATGACGTTGGTGGTACACAACCACTACCACACTACCACAGGTCAGTTCTTTAATAATACATGTATGAATACAACTGTCCACTTACGTATTAACTTAGCCAAATCATGTATACAAATATTATGTCAATTTTCTATATTATACACATCAATTTAACAAGTTCCGAATACGAGTATTCTGTAAATACTTTAAAATTATTTTTGTAGTTATTTAAGAATATTAACCGGCCTATGTACTAATTGTTATATTTAAAAATTCAATTAGAATGCATATTTTACATGTCAAAAATATGACGCCTCACTTGTTTTACTATAGATTACTGTAAGCACTCTATGGGTGAGATTCATAGTCACAGCTTTACTTTAAGCCTAGGTAGTCTTCGCAAAGCGAACTTTACATTTTCCTTTCAATAACTCTGGTTTCTATATTTGCTTTGAAAATCACTGCTTCTAAGTAAAGTTAAAACATAATGTAGAGTCGTTACTTTAAATGCAAATATTTTACTAGTGACTCACCCTCGCTTCGGTTCGTTGATTCCTTATACAAACTTTCATCCCCATTTTCATTCCTTTATGGGATGATTTGCGGGATAAAAAGTTTCCTATGTCCTTCCCAGGATCTCAAACTGTCTTCTTACCAAATTTTACCTAAATTGATTCAGTAGATGCAGAGTTTACCCCCTACAACATCACAAACTTACAAACTTTACCTCTTTATAATATTAGTATACATTCATCTACAAACAATACCTACTATTATATAGAGGTAAAGTTTGTAAGTTTGTGATGTTTGTAACGAATAAACTCAAAAACTACAAGACCGATATAGATGAAATTTGGTAAGAAGATAGTTTGAGATCCTGGGAAGGACATAGGATACTTTTTATCCCGGAAATTATCCCATAAGGGGATGAAAGTTTGTATGGGGAATCAACCTGGGGAAGAACCCGAGCCAAGCAAGGGTGAGTCGCTAATAAGCAATATAATAACATGTTATAATTACATATTTATGACTTTCAGTAGCTATAGGGAGGGGAAAGAACCTGCCGATTGTTTGTAATGTTTTATTTGAATATAAAACACTGATATTGATACAATGGTTAAATGGTGACGAAATGTCCAATAACTAAATTAAACTAAAAAATTAAAAATACCCTGACATTTAATTAGCCATTTTGTAGTGGCGGCCATCTTGTATGTGAAATTTATTATAGTACTACTACTACTACTAGTCAAGCCTTTTCATTTCATACCCATATTGAGGGAGTTGTGAAAAAATATGTAATTCGCCATTTTTAGACCGATTTTTATCAAACATAGCTGAGAACACTCCCGACTAAATCATCTTTTAAACAAAATCAAAATAGGTTCATCCGTTCGGGAGCTACGACCCCACAGACACGTCAAACTTATAACACCCTGTCGCTGTAACGTACGTACGTATATACCCACGTAGCACGTAGAAATAATCAAAGTCCATCAAATAGGAAATAGTTCATCACAAAAACGATTTACTTATCAATAGAAAGTATTCTTTAAAATAATCCGAACCAAAACCGTTATGCAGCCAGGAATCACCAAAAATAAATAGCCATAATTTATAGTTGACATTTCCATAAGACATATTTTTTCCCAAGTTCAGTAACCAAATAAATGAAAAAAAAAGACTCTCATAGGTAGTAATTCGTATGTGTGTTGATGTTTGCTAGTATATAACATATTCACATAGTCAATTTAAAGTGTCCTTTGATTCCCAAGTATGAAGCAACTAATAATAACGACTCTGTCTTTACTAAGGAAAATAGGCTTTTCTAAAGTTAGCATTTGACAAAACTACGAGTATAAAATATTTCTTTTGCTAAAAGTAGAGCTTCATCATAAAGTGTCAGTATAACATATGAATCTTACCATATGAGACATTGGAATTAATGTTATTATTTGTTATCGAAGTAGTTTTGTTGCTCTATTATATTATATACATACATGAAACATCACAAGTGAATTAAAAAACATATTTAATATGAATAATAAGCCTAATATAATTATTAATATTTACATTTTCCTTTTCATCTAACCGCTTACTATTTACCCAATGTCTGATTGTTTGCTAAATCTTAAAAATAATGCGATTAAAATAAGATTTATAAATAAATAAAAGGCACCTTAAAAAGTTTATCGGAAACTTATTTCTACGTAGAAAAGTGATGTGGAATTACAATTTTATATAAATAAGAAATTTATAACTAGAAACATTAGTATAATTGGAACAAACTGAGTTTTCATCATTGAGTCTCTTATACTTAGTTAATACACTTATGATTTTACTTAGTTAATTACAAGCTACCACTATCGTACGAAATGACCATTGGTATGGTTCGTATTATACGTTACGAATAATGACGTCACAACATATGAGCTCTCTCATTTATGTCTTCGTTTCACTTCACTTCACCCACAATATACTATGTTTTTGTCCTCAACTGCAAAGTTACCGTGAGATGTGATGCTTGAACTGTAAAACAGAAAGTATTTTTATATTTAACATTAAATGTGAAGTTTTATGTATGTGTAGTAATTATGGCATGACTCGAGACGTATTTTGTTATTTTTACAGTCGAGTTTTTGAAATGACCAGAAGGGTCAAAAGGGGACAAAAATCAAAAAATATTTTAAGGCAAGGATCAAAAGACAATTTGTAAAATTAGGCTATCTGATACAAGTGTTCAAAATTGATATATTGTTTATGTTCTCTAAACGTAAATAATATGACTGTTCATTTCGTCCCCTTTCTGTGTAAACCTCGTAACTCCATTTTTTTCGAAATTGAGATTTTTTGCGAAAATCACTCCTTAGCACTCTTGTAACGTAAAACAAAACATGCAATGATTTGTATTATTGAAAACACGTAAACTTGAAAAAAATCTACAATATTTGTCATGTATTGCATGACATGGCATTAGGAAGCTGGCACCCTACACGAAAATGCCAGCATCTTACACACCGAAGGCCTGAGAGCATATTGCCAATTTGTAGCACAACTGTTATCAAAGCTCTGAATACTAATGGTTCATCTAGCCATAATTATATAACTTCAAGAACTCTTTCCAATCTCAAATTTAAACTCGAGATTAGAACCCTACAAAATAAAATAAAAATCACTTCAAAATACTCCAAAAACTTCACAAGAAAATGTCTGTAGTTTTCGTTCAGAACTACATAGAGCTCGCAAAAAAACGTCAAAAGTATAAAATAGTAGTAATTTATCCTGTTTATGCTAAATATTTTCAATTTTATCATACATATATAGGTACTTTTTTTTACAATTACAATTTTTGACAAGAAAATATGATTATGTATTGAAAATATAATTTTACTATTTTGTATTTCTTAAACATTAATTATCTTCTTTATGAAAGAGAGATAGCATAATATTAGCTTATTTACTTATTATAATAAAATCCGTTAGCTATTTTTATTTATTTAGTTATAACTTATAAAACATTATACTTATATTATTTAAAAACATTATTGTTTGTCATTATGTATAGTTCTATAATACTGTCAATATTACTCCTTAGTCTGAATGTAGGTTATACTGGATTTAAAAACAATATAATGTCAGTACCATAATGCTATTGGTGCCGTTGGTAGAAGGGTGGCGGGTAGCGCGCCACGGCGTAGGGCTGGCAGGCGGGCGCGGGGGTGGCAGGCGGCGCGGGCGGTGCGGGGCGCGCGGCCGGGGCCGGCGGCGGCGGCGCGCGCCCCACTAACTGACTTGACCCCATTGTACTACCTGGCAATGCTTATTATATTTTAGAATCCGACCTCATTAAATATCTGAAATCGTTTATTGTTTATTATATTAGAATTCCATACTCCAGACTTACTACGGCTACGGCGGCCAATCTCATTGAGACTATACTCTATTCACGGAGTGAACCATGCAAAGCGCTTTTTCTGTCCCACATTAGCATACAAACTGATAAGGACAGAAAACTGTCTAGCTCCGCCGCACTAACACTTGCAACTGGGTTGAAATCATTAGGGCTCGTTTATGTTGCTAATAATATAGTGAGGAATTATTAATAATTTGTAATAAAATTAAATCAAAATGCAAATAAAATCAACATTAAGGTAAAGTAAATTATATTTATATACATTATTTATTTTTACTTTCCGACGTATCACTGTCGAGTACTGGTACAAGATTCGAGAGACGTCTGAACGGTACGGAATGCAACGACGGACTAATTATGAATTGCATTGTAATCGCGGCCTAAGCGTCTTATCTGCAACCAATCATGTGGAAGCGCAAAATCTCAGTGCTTGGTTCATTCCGCGAATACAGTATAGATAATGTGCAGGATACCTTATAGCGCACCAATATGCGCGCAGTCACAGGTGCAATCTATATTCGTGTCACTCTCATATGTCATATTTCATTGCAACGTTTAGACGTGACCGGTGAAAGATCAGGCGCAGGACCGACACGACTTTTGCTCTCAGAGGCACGGGTGTGATACACCGACGACTTCCCAAATCTGGGATCTTTTGAGAATTTCTTGATAGAAAAGTTCTAGTGATAGTAATTAGGGGTCTTTATGGTATATGCTGGTATATGCATTTAAAATTTTTGTAACAAAGTATATAATAACATTAATTAAAACTGAATTAAAATTATAGCGTTAATTATAACAAAAGGTACTTTTCACAATCAATAGACAACATACATATATACCACATAAAATAAAACTAAATACATAAAAGAATTTCATCTCTATAATTTTCTTGTAACAGCTGTTGCAATATATATATACTGCATAATAATCTCCATATAAATGTGAAAGTGTGATTGTTTCTTTGTCCTTATTTCACGTTGAAACAGAGTGACGAATTGGAGTGATTTAAAACATCACATCATTTTATTACTACAGTCCAAGACCATATTATTGTGTGTTTAAAATTTATTACGTGTAGAAAATTACATTAACACTTTGAGTAATAATATAAAAAAATATTTTAATAGAACACAATATCCAATGTGCATACTACAAGACGTGCGTGACAAACAAACCAATAGCATTCCCAAAGAGCGTTGATGTCTGGCAGGCGGCCGGTCGTAAAACTTTTGCCAAATCCTATCAGCAATACAGTGGATGTACTGCGCCAACCCTAAGATTGGGAAATGGGAATGGCGATAATGACATTCAACGCTACATCTAAAGAACACGATTGAATATCAAACACTGCTCACCGCTGAGGGGCGCGGGGAAAGGGGGTGGGTACGTGTAGTGTCTCGCGGGGGGCGCGGGGGGTGCGGGCGGCGCGGGCGGCGGAGGCCCATACTGGTAGGGCTGCTGCCCAACACGAGCTTGTGCTGCCTCGTTCTTCTGCCCATTGGAGAAACGATGGAACCCCTTCACGTTGTTACTGTTGCTCATGCTTTTCAGGATTTCTGCATTGAAATCACTTGAAGAAGTCCGATCTGAGACGTTAGCTATAAAAAGAGGTTTGTATATTATGATAAGACACTTGTAATTTACGCCATCCATATTATTATATAATACATAATATTATAAATGTGAAAGTAACTCTGTCTGTTTGTCTGTTACATTTTCACGCCTAAGCCTGAACCAATTTTAACAACTTAACTGTCCGCAAAATAGACACAATAGTTAAACAATCGAAATGTTCATATATGACTCATGGGACAGGGAAATGGTTAATTAATTTTGGTATAGAGATAGATAGGCCTTTGGAACAATTTTAGTTTTTCTAGGTTTACTTTATGTGGTGAAAACGTAAAACTTGAAGTACATGAAATGAAAGTGCGATAGTCCTATGTTTTAGCTACTAGACATAAAACTGAGTTAAATCATCTGGTATATTATATATTTTATCGTAAATAAATAGTGATATATTATAATGTCGATCGAGGGCAGCGAGTGTGGGAATATCATAAATGCAAGACACCTAGGGGTGCACCCGAGTGAAGCGACGTTAAGTCATTAGTGATAATATAATTCTTCCTCATCAACCATAATGTTATGACAGGATAATAATGAAACAAAGACTATATAACTTTGCTATTTAGTTTAACTCGACGTGAATTTAAAAGGTAATTTTTGTGCAAGGTGTGTTGAGCGTGATTTTTAGTTTGAATACGAAACCAACTATCTAGTAACTAGTTACCAGACTAAATACTAACATTGTTTCAATATTTCCACAAACGTCTGCAAAAGGTCTGACTTGGGCGTAGTATCGGTCCGTCTCGGGGCGATTAACGTCTGTAGTAAAGGCTCATCTAGCCTCATACTTGACGATGGTACCTGAAAGTCAATAAAAGTTTGAAGTCAAGTCGAAAACACATTCATTTAATATATAAATGTAATTTAAATTAAAATTCGTAATAACTTTAATGAGCTCACCGATTCATAACTTCGTCTGCCGCGAAGTACGTAGTCCATGAGTTGCATGAAAAATTGGTTAGGCATTGCAGCAGATATGCCCTAAAAATAAAACATTATATTATGAAAATTAGATCACAATTAAAGATACAGATCAGAATGTTTTGGTTTAATTGTAGGTAATTATGTCAATGGAAATAGTGACAAAAACAGGTTATGGAATCTAGTCAGTATTATTAATAAAAAACACGTTATTTATAAAAATGGTTTTTGGAAAATAGCCTGAATTTTTTAGTGAGCCACTGCCAAATGCATATAATTATAATGCTTACAGGTACAAATGTCGACGACTGATTAAGTTGAGCTAGGACTTCATGAACTTCTGAATGTGACAAGCTCTGTAAAAAAGGAACAATTTTTATGACATTGCCTTTATCATATTACGGAACATGATAAGCCTCTAAATTAGTAAATATTATGGTTCAAAGTGGCGCCCAATTTAAGTTTAAAAAAATAATTTACTATTAAACGAACTTACCTGTACGTGAAGTTCAATCATAATTATATTTCGCAGCTTCTATTTAATTAAATTCACTTCTTTTTCTATCTAATTTACAATTTGTAACTAGTCCCACGCGTCAGCCATCCACGGATATTTAGAAAGCAGTCAAAATAATTTTTGACTACCCTCCACCAAGTTACCTCACTCCAGTATATGTCATAATACTTCAATAAGTTTAAAGTTGACCGGTATATTTTTATTTCGCTATTCTAAAAGGGTTGGGTTTATAAACCTGGGCAGGATGTAAATTGCTTCGAATGAAGCTGCTCATATAATTATGATTGGACTTCACGTACAGGTAAGTTCGTTTAATCAAAAATTATATTTCGCAGCTTCATTCTTTGCGATTTAATTTACAATTTGTAGCTGTTTAGAGTTAGAGAAATAGCGAAATAAAATTAGAAGCATCTCTCAAGCAAGCAAGCTCTGTAGCATCAGCAAAGAGCTGCTGCACGCCGTAATGGCTAACGAAGTATTCAATGTATATGATACTTAAAGTATGGTTTTATAAAACTGATGAATAAATTTCGTCACTCATTTGAAAATACGTAGTTTTCTCTACATGAGCATAAGCATAAAGATCTGGCAAAATCAAGACAGATATAATGATAAAGTGAATGAAATAGGATGTAATGAATTAATTTTTAATGGTTTTAATAATTGTGTCAGTGCTTGCAATGACTATTTATATCATGATTAAATTTTAATATATTTAATTTCATTGATTAAAAATTTGCACTTTATGCACATTAACAAGTGCCATAGGAGTCACAATCTTTTTCGATAAATATTCTAGATCAAGAGCTTTTCTCTGCCATTTTAGAATAAAGATATTTAAAACATGATTAGGGTGCACAGTAATATTATATCTTGAAAGTGAAGATCTATACATAGATCTAAACACACTTTTTATAAAAGTTTTCATTCTATCTCATTTTCAATAAGTAAATTTTAAAAAATCTAAAATAATGTTGAATTATAGGAATTCTTAGTTCCATATTTAACAATCGAATCTGAAACTTCAGTTAGAATTATAAATTATTTTTAGAATTGATATAGATATTATGTAAATATTTATAATTATATTTTTTATAGTACATTTCCATGATTTTAAACAAATATGCTTGTATGTATTTTTAGACAATGAAAAACGTTTGTAGCATCTTTTAAATAAGCAGAATAATATAGTATACATATGTATATAAAATGTAAAAAACGACAACAAACCAAGAATTTTGGCCAGGTTTCCAAGAAATGTAAATATTACATTTGACATTGCATCTACTCGCAAATACCTTTGGTGTACAAACCTTGGAAATAATTACTTTATATCCCTTATTATTAAATTTTGATTCGATTTCTGAAAACTACTTTTTTTTTACATATAATCACTTTTTACTGTATATATATGAAGCTAACGAGCTATCAATTTTTACGCCATTTTCGCATATTTCCGTTAAATGGGGATAACAAATGTTATCCTTTTTATTTATCAAAAAATCTTTTATCTACTTCCTGTTTCTGAAATAGCTATTATTTATCCTTATTAATAAATATTTAGCTATTTTTAGATATTTGGAAAAACGATTGTTAGTATAATTAACGCAGCTGTAAGCTCTAAAATATTAAAATGCAAAGCTTTGTCATTACAATTACTACATACAATTCTATAAACCATCTGTGCTTTACCGTTACTATATTATATGTCCGAAAATAGCTCTAGCGTATAATTATAACATCAAAAGAAAAAATGGCTCAAAAACTATTATCATTCAACCAGTAAGTCATGGCGCTCTCCAGGCCGTTCGATAGAATAAGTTTAATTTAATTCTCATTACTAAGCAAACATTGGTATTTATACATTTTTAAAGACTTCGTATATAGTTTTTTATATACATATATACTACTGCATATTCTATTGCCGGAAATGCCGATATCAAAAGACCCATAACCTTTGTAAAGTCTTAATTTAAGTTTATTTAATTAAAATATTTTTAATCTTTTTCCTTTTAGATCTGACGTTAACATTTCTCATTTTGTAAAACAAATGAAAATTCTAAGTACTTTCTTTGTCGTTTCGAAACTAAGCTGCCTTTACTTTAGTTTATAATAAAAAGAAGCTTTTCAAGTAATTTTCTTGTAAAATTAACACTTTGTGCATTCGGAGTAATCACGACCAATACAAAAGATATTATCGACATACGACATACGAAATTAAGCCGCGTGATCTCAAATACTTTGCGACAAGACTATATTTTTGTGAAAGAATTAAAAATCTTAATAGCAAAATAAAATTCATAAAAAATATTATTAAATACAAATCACAAATTTCATCAAAATTTCTTGGTTGAATTATGAATCTGTACCAACTCAATTCTCGTGTTATATGTAAATACATACATTGCATATCAATGGCACTTATAATCTTTTGTAATTAATTTATAAACGGTTTTGTCTTCTTCTATTTTGAAATGAGAAGTTTGATAAATTTGTATAATTCACAATAAATCCTGAAGTCACTATTAGAGTTTGTCACCAAAAAAAATATACCCAAAACAAATAGATTTTTTATTTCTAGATATTTCGATATATATCGCGTTTTCAAAGTGATGTAAGCCTTATTTACTGTTAGGATAATTGTTACGTACATACAGTACTCGTAATAAAAGGTATTTTATCCTTAACCAAGATAGAATTGTGGATCTCAAGCTATTGTGATCCAAGGTTTATATAAAAAAAAGATTTTTGACGACTACAGTATCCTATATTCTGTTGCCTTCTGTTGTAAAACCTCCCTGTCTGTAGCAAAGTCGACAGCGACAGGGGAACGTGCACGGCGCTTATAGATTAATCAGGGTTGTACGTACGTGGAGAGGCCGTATTTGCTTCCTAGCATTGGGGCGGATCCAAGCCGACTCCCAGTTGAAATTTTTATTTCAATAGATCTTATTGTCAATAATGAAATTGCTTCATTTAATCTCATTGCTTCATCTATTCTGTCTTAAGTTGAATGAATCGACTTTGTCTTTAAATTATATATAATATTAGGTACCACTAAAACGTATTTGTTCTTATTGTTTTTAATAGTATATATTTCTGAGTAATGTTCGTCGCAGAAATTGTCAAATTTCTTAATAAAATAACAATAACAGAGGATTTGAGCTGCATCACTTACATTTGTTAGTGTTTTAGTGTAATCCGTTTTTTCTAATAGTAAATCAGTTGCATTAAGCGAGTTTTGCTTTATATTATTAAAAAAGAATACTATCTTTACGCAAAGACGAAACAGTTTAATCAGCCTTCATTAACCATTTCTGCGATCAATTCAATTTTTTGTAATTTGGCTTTTAATGGTGCAAATTGGGCATAGATTCACATCGCCATTATCGACTTTTGCGTTAAGTTATAGCTTAAACGGCACATCACCATTTCTTGGAATCAAATATGACTTTAATACTAATTACTTATACTCTTTGTTTTACTTGCTTGTAAGCCTTTCTTATTTCAGGGCCAAATACAGCTTAGATTTTTGGAACACTACCGAGAAGAAATAGTAAATCTTCGTCTAGGTACTTATCATGACTGTTCTCAGTCGATGTACATGGTTAATATGTTCACCATGTTACAACGTGTCATAAAAGACATACTCGACTTATCTGAAATAAATATTCAGATTAAATTTAAATGATTCTATCAGCAACAGATATAACACATATAGTTGCTCGCAATTAATAGTTTCAATTTAAGTTTGTTGTTATTCGGTTATATAAAGTCTGTATTACGATAGACAACAGAAAAAGAACGTTTACATAAGGTGTAGCCTAACTTATCTTACAATTTAATTAAGTATCTTTATATACATACAATTATAGCAATTAATTAAATTATTATGTTAAAATATAATATTTCTAATATAGATGTTCCGTAATACTCCTTCTCCCGGAATAATACTTTTAACTTGAAGGTGAAGAATGCTATTGCAACGCGAAGCCCGTGTCGCTTGTAATTACGCCACTCAGTTATACGTACTTGTTAATTGCTATATGTTAATTTTCTATCGTCTTAATATTTACTAGTATTCGTTTATGTCTTTAACTCTTTTATTGTATGTGCTCTTGGACTATATATTAATGTGTGTTATAAACTGTCTCTTCTGTGTATTGTGCTTAATTAATACAATCAGTTTAAAAGACTTAGTTTACGTTATTTTTCCTTCTACAACTACACACATCTCCAAGTAAGCCTACATAAGGTTTAATAAATATAGCAAGATAATACCCCACATGTTATTCGCATCGACTTTTATAAAGATTGTTAAATATCGACAGATAAAACACCACAGGTTAATTATTCGCATTGATTTTTATATGTGGGTGGGTGCACATTTATATAGTAACGGAATCAACCCTACTGGTTGTTCGCATCACAATTTCGTACAAAATACAAAATTTAAGGAAAATTAGACACAGATTTTTCTACGTATTATTTAAGTATTACACAATTTTTATTAAATATCGACAGATATAATCTTACAGGTTATTCACAGCGATTCTTTGTACGTGGCTAAAAGTAATATAGTGACAGAATCAACCCTATTAGTTGTTCGCATCACAATTTGTAAGTAGTAGGTAGGTTATTCGGATCGATTATTCGTACGTGGCTACAAAATTATATAGTGACAGAATCAGCCCTACTGGTTGTTCGCATCACAATTTTGTAGTAGGCATGATATTCTTATCGGTTTTCTGTAAGTAGCTACGAAATTATATAGTGACAGAATCAACCCTACTAGTTGTTCGCATCACAATTTTGTAGTAGACATGAATTTTAATTTGCCCTCGTCGTTCGAACTTGAAGAAATAATCCTTCTGAGTCGTTACACTCTTGACAGAGTGGTCGTGGTCGTCACTTGAGCGCTGCACACTTGACAATTCGTCACCACTCCTCCCTAACAGCTGCTTTCCTTGTACACTCGTATAAGGGAACACTCACCGCAGCATTCACTCTTCCTTGAAGAAATAATACAGCGACAAATTCTTTTCCTTTGTTGCTCATGCTGTTCATTATTTCTCTTCGATCTGCTGGATTTGATTTTGTTCATCGTGTAGAAAATAACTTATTGAAACTCGAACGGACGAATTAAATATAACGTGTTATTTAATATTTTTGAAACGTGCGATGGCTACCACACGGAAACGTAGAATGAAGTATCATGACATATACGGGAGTGAGGTTACTTGGTGGAGGGTACTCAAAAATTATTTGGACTGCTCTCTAAATATCCGTGGATGGCTGACGCGTGGGACTAGTTACAAATTGTAAATAAAATCGCAAAGAATGAAGCTGCGAAATATAATATATTTTAGTCTAAACATCATGTGACAGGAGTGTTAAGCTATGAGTTGCCTTAAATTATTTCACTAGCGTTAATTAACGTTACGTTAAAACGGGGAGATATTTTCCCGCAGTAAAAAGTATCCTTTGACCTGGACAACCAGCTATCGTATCGTATACCAAATTTCATCAAAATCTGTCCAGTGGTTTTTTCGTGATGCGTTCTCAGACCACGAATAGACAAAAATTCTAAAAAAATACAGATTCGGCCTCTGTATCAATAATAATGACTATTGCTAAAGATTTAACAAAAAATATTTGATGTACAAATTCAACTCAGAAATTTATAATATGTATAAAAAGCTGCTAAAATAATTTCTAGAACAATTAGTAAATAAAGTATTTTTTTTACTTCTAATTATTATTTAAGCATATAGTAGATTTGATGTTATTAAATTGAGATATACTAACGTAAACTATTTTTAACTTTATAGCACTTAATTCTATATAAACGCTGTTATAATTGATGTTTGATTATAATTTGAGTGCAAAAATATTTTATTACAACAATCAAAACATATAAAGTACGTCGTAACTCGTACTTTATTTTAGTAACAATTTCATATCAAAAACATCAAATCTGTTATTTACATACGTAATAATTAAGAGATCAGTCGAATGTTAAAAAAAAATATTAAGACCAAATCTGCTAACAAAAATGAATGAATACATAATGAAATCGATTATAATGTACCTCGATATATTCTTCTATGAGATGATATAGATCACTGCTGACTAGCGATCTCAATACCTCTTTGATATTTTGAAACTCTTGAAGTTTTTGCTTATATATTAAAGCTTGACACTCTTCCTCTCTATGTAATTTACTCATTTCTTGTCTATAACTTTCCAATCTAAAATCACAAAACGTTTTATTAACATTTTTCTAAAATTACAATCAATATGTGTGGAGTACCTGATCCAAGAATTGTCAATTTAAAATTTATTGTAGCATCAAGTGAACGAGGAAGCGAAAACACTGAAATCGCCGCGCAATACCGATTACGTGAAACACTTTTTAGTAATTGCTTTGTAACAGTAATAAATTAAATTTGTAGCTAATGTTGTAATGTTATTGACGTGTATTAGCGAATAGGTTTAAATATAGCGAAATTGAATGTTTATTAACATACCATTTGAATCTACTGACGTTATCAGATGTTATCATATCAAAGGAGTAAAAAACGACGATAGCTGTTCTGTATTTTATTTACGCATACATTTTAAACTGCATGTGAAATTTATGTTATAAACTTTGCCCATCATATATATTATCATAAAATGATTGCCCTCCTTACTTTTTGATCTCATACAAAGAATATCAGAAATGAGTGTTTTAAGTTTTTATTTTAAATGATGTCTGTCAATCTATAGTATGTACTTTTTCGCATTGCTTCAATATATTATTGATATGACCCAAAGCAAGAAACGCGAATTTTAATTTTCTTTCCATATCAGGAGCTTATTACTTAGAATTTTTAAAGCTAAACACTTTAAATGGGAATCCTGAAAATATTAATTCTAAAAATTCGCTATAAATATTTTTGTTACGTGACGCGCTTTGCATAAAAATAAAATACTCCCGCAGATATATTTATTTCAAATATTGAAATAAATACATTCCATTTGTGGTCATTTAAATATTAATCAATAAATGTATACAGTTTCAAACAATATAGAAGAATTTCGGTATGTTGCCTAACCTGATACCGCGCTGCACGCACTGATCACATTGAGCGTCCGCTACCTTTTCGTCCTCCGTCTTCCTGATTTTGCAAGGTTGCGCTGAGAACAAAATCAAAGATCGCCAAGCCATAGACAACAGGTTATGTAATTCACAGTTAAATCAAAAACAAGCACAAATTTATTTACGCTTTCCGTGATATGAGAAACTGTTCATACACTTTCAATGAAAATTTTGAAAAGATGTTACATAAATATTGCAAGTTCAATTTTAATTTTTTGCAGTAACACCACCATTTTTTTTTAATTTTTAGACAGTGTAAATAAATTATTCGATATAAATAATGCAAATTAAATGTACTTGTAGAAAAATTAAGCAACAAGAAACTCATTTTGATAAAATAATAAAGAATAGGCATCTTTATATTGTTCTTTTTTATATTATTCAATCCAAAAAGATGTATGTACTTGTAACGTTTCATAACATCATTAAAAATTCCAAATAAATAATTTGGTAAGTTACTTCTTAAAAAAAGAGGCATTCGCAAGTTTTTTTTAAGGGTATGGGAATAGGGCACATCGAAATTGTAATCATTTTATATAAAGTGATGGTGGTGATAATAAAATTAAAAATGTATTGCTAATTAAATAAGTACTGTGGCATACTGTTAATTATTGATTTTTAACTAAACTTAGATATTGATCTAGACGAGTCACAAACAAGTGAAAGAAGTCATCCTTTTTGAGTCATTAATAGCAATAATAATAAAACAATGATGTACCCTTATGAAGTCTATAAGTTAGGGATAATTAATTACTGGTAACTTTTAACTTTTAATGATATAAATTGTGACCATAGCTACAAGAAGCAGCTATATTTATAAAATACCAATTGCAATTAACACAAAAAACAACAAAATAAGAATTATCCTATATTAGTGCCACATAACAAGTGCAATTATAATATTACTAAAAATTTATAAAAAATTTATTGTAGTTTAAAGTACAAAATATTAATGCAGGCTTGAAAATTGTGTAATGCAATACACTTACATGTAGTTATTAAAAAGACACGGAAAACGTATCACGAAATAATCAATAAAAATAGTACTAATAAGGTTAAAAGACAATAATTTTAAATGTTGGAATTTCCTTGTTTAGTGTTTACTGATAAATATAAAAAGCAAATGCAAGTAAATTTTAATTTAATAATGTCTCCAAATATTAATACAACATATTGAGTATAAATACAACTGTAACTAAATTTATTTGCTTAACTATTTTCTTTTTATTTCATATTCGCTAAAGCTTATTTTTAACTGCTTACTAACTTTATCTTTTATATCGCTGAGCATTTAAGTGAAAGGTAGTAATGTCACCTAAGTAATAGTTATATTTTGAAAATTCCACATTTTATATAAATAAAACAATTTAATTTAAATATCCTTACCATCAAATTGATTTGGCGATGTCCTTTTTATTGAACCATTTTTTTGAACATGTGAAGGTAATGGAGGTGGGGGTCTACTACCATCAAACCTAAAAACAAAAATATTAAGAGAATGTCATACAATATAACTCAGCATTAATGTAACTCAATATATATATACCTCTACATAATTTTATTTTAAAATTACATAATTTATAAATATGTAATATATTTTACTTACATTGGAAGTATTGAAGGTGAAGGTGCTGCTGGAAATGTTGCAGCATTTTGTGGTGGTGGAGCTAAAAATAACAATAATAAAAAATAAGAATATACAATCCAATTAAAAATTTAAATATTATTAGTTAAAAACATACCTGTAAATATAGGTGTTTGAGGTACCACTGGAGTAGAAGGCAATGTTGGCGGCGGTGGCGGTGGGAGCAATTGCTGTAAAGGAAGCATAGTAGGAGCTGTTCTTGTCACAGACATTGTTACAGGTGCAGGTGGTGGAGGTGCATTCGCTGGTGCAGGAGGCGGAGGAGGCGGAGGCATATGCCCCGCAAGAGACTCTTGAATAAATAAAGCGATTTGTGGTATAGTTTCAGCCGCTGTAACTGACATATTGGCGTGTCTTTCCGCAAGTATTCGAGGAAGTTGTCCAGTTGCAAAGAATAAACTTTCTTCTTCTTTAGTTGTGTGTAAATAAGAGCAATGTTCACGTGAGCATCCTGGCGGATTTTGATAATCGTGACAGAATTTTAAAATTTTTTTCATTTCCTCGAAATCAAGTTCATGGCGAAATCTACATTGAGCATTTTTATTACAAGTACCCCAAACAAAGTTCCTGCATATCTCTTTTTTGTTGTCACTTTGATTTACATTTTCACCTAAACAATCGCCGTCTGACAGAGGCGGTGGCTGTCCTGGCAGCGGTGGCTGGCGGCCATTTTGATCATTTCTACTGCTCATGGACTGCTTAAATTATAACACAAATAATTAAACAGTTAAACTTATTCAAATAGGAATAATCTCATATTAAAATATGATAATAACTTACCGTAATATTTGAGCTCTATAGAAATACTAATTGTTCAACTTTTGTAAAAGTTGCCAATCTATCAAAAATAAACATGTATTACACCGAATTAACCATTGCACATCACGAATTGTCTTAGTGATATTAAATGGCATATAGACAGACATTAATTAACAGCTAATAATTACAAACAAATTTTTGATTTCGTCACATTCGACGACAACCTAACAATTTGTAAACTATACAAAACCATGGATGATTAATAAACGTACAAATATGCAACAGCACAAAGCAAACACAAAAAATAAAACACCAGTGGTGTAACTGTTTAGTGTTGCACTTGTCAAGTTAAAAATATTAATATTAAATATAGAGTTAAATATAATGAAAAGGATGTAGAGATTACTTGATTATTATTATGTCATGTCTGAACTTGGTTTATTTCATAACAAATTTAGCCTTAAAAATGGGGAAGATTTCTAGAAAGGAGAGCGCTACACGTATGACCCATTTACATTCAGTCTGAGGTTAAGTAATTTATTGTGATATAAAAAAGATTTTACTCATTGTTTTTTGCTTTTATTGTCTTCGCTGGTTAAAGAAATGTGAAATCCGAGACGTATTCCTTATATGATATAGGCATTCAATAAGAAAGGATTTTTCAATCATCCCTTAAGTGGGTAAAATAGGGGATTAAAGGTTGTATGAAGCTCTGTCATTCTTGATAAGCCTAGTTAGTATGAAATCTCTAAATAGATTATTTACTATTACGAGGACAACTTATTACGAGACAGCGCTTGAAGGGATTTTATATCGCACACACATTCTAATGTATGAATAACTAGCGACTAACTCATCCCTAGGTTGATTCACCATACAAACTTTTTCACCCCCTTGGGATGATTTCTTGGATAAAAAGTATCCAATGTCCTTCCCAGGGTTTCTAACTATCTTCTAACCAAATTTCATCTAAATTGGTTCTGTAGATCCAGAGATTATCCCTTACAACATCACAAGCTCACAATTCACAACCTCACAAACTTTACATCTTTATAATATTAGTATAGATAATATTATTTTGTAGTTAGTATGACTGAATCGATGTATAATATTATTTTGATATAAAACGAGATATTTAAAATGTTTAGCACTTACTTTTAAGAATTTCCGATATTTCGGAACTGTTCGAAATTCCATGGTCGCGGGTATACTGATGACTTTGCAGGTGGATGTTAAACTTTTTATTGGCAGACACATTTATCTACCCTCGTACTAGTTTGTAATTTTATACGTCCGTTACCTCTACCACTGTCACAGTCAATAATTGTAACTCCTCAAAATTAGGGATAAAAAATTGCACCGGGGGTTTTAAGGGTTTTTTCTTTAGTAGCATGACTTAATTAAAAATAAAGTTTTATAAAGTTTCTTTTATTAACTTGAAAAACCATACATCTTTAAATATAATTTGCATTTTATTTTTTTATTATTTTCTAAGTTATCTATGAAATTTATTGTTACTATTATTAAATGGATATATATTAATTGGATATATATTAATTATTATAATAATAAACGTAAATAAGTTTTTTACACTACTTGTAATCATTTAAAATAAAAAAATATTAAAAATAAAAGAAATGAGTATTATGATAGAAACCTACATTTTTCAAATTATTTGTTAGGGGGTATTAGGAATTTTTGGAATTACTGTTAGGGGGATAAAATTTCAAGTGTTGGCAGCACTGTCTTTTGATTTTTCAATATTATTGTGACCATTCTTAATAGGCATGGAACATTTCACGAGTAGCAAGTGAAAAATCACGTGAAATGCGTTATCATACGTCACACCTGCTACTTAAATTCACATTGACTGCTACAAATCACAACTTGGTGAAATCTAGAGCTGTAGCAAACCGTATTAGGGATGGAACATTTCACGAGTAGCAAGTGAAAAATCACGTGAAATGCGTAATCATACGTCACACCTGCTACTTAAATTCATACTGGCTGCTACAAATCACAACTTGGTGAAATCTAGAGCTGTAGCAAACCGTATGTATTCGTTACTGAGTAACGGGTACGCCATCTAGTACCGAGTACCGAAACGTTACTCACGAATGCATTTCGTTACTCGCATTTTCCGTATACATTTTCGTACTGATGTTTTTATTGATTTTTTATTCAACAAAATACAATTTTCAGTTAATACCGTTGATCAGTAAATTGGGGAGTTTATTTATTTCGAGTTGCATGATTTCGGATTCTTAGAAATATTGTTTAGAAATAATTTTAAATTAGAAACAACAATTAAATTTAGAGCACATTTTTAGTTTTTTATCCAACAAATACTTATAATTTTTACTGAATGATTATGTGTAATACGTACAGATTATGATTTAATAAATCATTCGCGCAATTGATTTTAAAATATAATATATGCATTACGACGTCACACTAACGTGAAAGATGGCGTTACTTTTCATTTTTAAATTACCTATTTTTATTATTATTTAATTTCAAAATTTATTCATAAAAAAATATTGTTAGTAAAGTTTTTAAAAATTATAAAGATTTATAAATAATTAAAATTTCTGGGTTCTAGATATCCTGTAACTCTCCAATTGAAATGGTTTGCTGATCGTGCATTATTCCACAGAAAAATTCTTATTGTACATAAAAACAATGAACTTTTAAATACGCCAATGTAATTATGGAACTTAGCTTAATACAATTTTACCGTGTGATTACTCTGATATATTTAAAATTCATTTAATTTTACATTGTCAGTCCCAAGCCTGTAGAAGTATGAGGGAAAGTTCATTGTTTGAAAATAGGTTCATTCAAAGCACCATGTACGTATGCAACTACGTCAGATCTATATCTCTGCTCCATATCACATCAGTAGCGCTATTGGTGACATTTCATACTTCATTTTAATAGCAAATAATATAAAGTGTGACACCAGACCGTCAAAATCAAAAATATATGCGTGAAAAGTAGCAGGTGAAATCACGTAAAAATTGTTGTAATTTCATCACGTGATAATGATTTAAAAGTAGCAATCATTTCCATGCTTAAACCGTATGTATTCGTTACTGAGTAACGGGTACGCCATCTAGTACCGAGTACCGAAACGTTACTCACGAATGCATTTCGTTACTCGCATTCCGTATACATTTTCGTACTGATGTTTTTATTGATTTTTTATTCAACAAAATACAATTTTCAGTTAATACCGTTGATCAGTAAATTGGGGAGTTTATTTATTTCGAGTTGCATGATTTCGGATTCTTAGAAATATTGTTTAGAAATAATTTTAAATTAGAAACAACAATTAAATTTAGAGCACATTTTTAGTTTTTATCCAAACATACTTATAATTTTTACTGAATGATTATGTGTAATACGTACAGATTATGATTTAATAAATCATTCGCGCAATTGATTTTAAAATATACTATATGCATTACGACGTCACACTAACGTGAAAGATGGCGTTACTTTTATTTTTAAATTACCTATTTTTTTATTTATTATTTAATTTCAAAATTTATTCATAAAAAAATATTGTTAGTAAAGTTTTTTAAAAATTATAAAGATTTATAAATAATTAAAATTTCTGGGTTCTAGATATCCTGTAACTCTCCAATTGAAATGGTTTGCTGATCGTGCATTATTCCACAGAAAAATTCTTATTGTACATAAAAACAATGAACTTTTAAATACGCCAATGTAATTATGGAACTTAGCTTAATACAATTTTACCGTGTGATTACTCTGATATATTTAAAATTCATTTAATTTTACATTGTCAGTCCCAAGCCTGTAGGAAGTTTGAGGAAAGTTCATTGTTTGAAAATAGGTTCATTCAAAGCACCATGTACGTATGCAACTACGTCAGATCTATATCTCTGCTCCATATCACATCAGTAGCGCTATTGGTGACATTTCATACTTCATTTTAATAGCAAATAATATAAAGTGTGACACCAGACCGTCGAAATCAAAAATCTATGCGTGAAAAGTGAAATCACGTGAAAAATTGTTGTAATTTTATCACGTGATAATGATTTAAAAGTAGCAATCATTTCCATGCTTAATTCTTAATGCGATTGCGTGCGTTCGAACACTGAATAACAGGCATGTAAGAAGAGAAAAAGTGTTCTGTGGTAGAGACAGCTCTGATATTGCTCTGACCGCCGTGATCCCTGGATTGTCCCTGCGGCAGGTGCGTCAGTAGCTCGCTTTAGAAGTCTTAAAGAAAGATATTCTAAAATAGCGTTCATATCAAACTCATGTTGTACCTACTATTAATTTAAAACAATAATTATTAATATAACTCTTCCTTGAGGTCAACTATGTGACAAAAAAGTGAAAAATATAAACGTAATTTTATGGCTGCATGATCTATGTAGATCATTAGTATGTGATTATTGTTTTTATTTAAAATGGTTATTTATTATATATTTATTTGGTTATTTAAAAACATAAAATTTGAATAACATACGAAAAGTACTTCTTATAATGATATTTGAGTGGACCGTCTATCGTACCAATAATGTCCCATCCCCAAGACGTAAAATTGCAACATTTTTTTAGAATAAGTATTTTAATTGTATTTCAAATTACTTACATGTTAAATGTTTTATAGGTTATTTTTTTGACTTCCTACAATTGTTAATGTATAGGTACTAAAATACCAATACGCTCATTACAATATTTAGTAGCAGAAATAAGAACTCGCACCATGCTACAATGAAAAACTGTATAGGTCGAATGTCTGTACATAGAAAAAAAGAATGCTAAAAACCGAGTTAGGGAGATGTAAGAAAAGATGAAAGCACAGCCAGAAGTCCTGTCAATGTCGTATGACCATGTTTTCTCAGAGCGTCCCAAACTGCACTTGGTTACACCCGGTTTCCACTCTAAAACTCGTGTGCTCTAATAGTTGTCGGATTTGCGGCAGATATAAGCAGCCCATGGTAGCGCGCTCTCTTGAGAAACCGAGTGAAGAGGGTTCCCGGGTCTCGCACCTCTGATATTGTCATGTGCGAAACATTTAAAACATGATTACTAGTCCGTAAGAACGGAGATGAAAAACATTGTGAAGAAACATGCATTTAAGAGAACCTAGCAAGTTTTCGACTGCGTGTGTGAAGTCTGCCAACCCGGACTTGGCTAGCGTGGTGGACTATAGCCTGATCCCTCCTCCTATTGAAGGGAGGCCCGTGCACAGCAGTGGAACGTTAAAATGTCCAAAATACAATGAAATGAAATAAACTTTATCCGATTAGACTTATTATAAGCACTTTTGAAATGACCCGCCCACTGCTAAGTAGCAGTGAGTAATTCTTTAGCCAATATAAATTGCTTTTGTCTTTTGGCGAATGTGCTCGTTTAAGATATACCCGCCATGGATTAGTCTAGATCACGTAACACGAAATTAAATTATCCGATACGACTCGAAGGTCGAGTTTTATGTTGATGTTAGGTACTAAAAGAAACCTTCGCAAGTTTTCATAAATCAGTTCGTCAAAGTTTTTAGCAATCGAAGGTTGGGTTGTTGAGCACGGCATTTAGTAATTAATCTTAAATTATTCCATATTTATATTATATAGCCAGAGCCGCTCTGTATCGTATTTGATGTCTAAGTACAACTATAATTCCAAAATATATCCTTGTACCTACTCTAAGCCCCGATTAAGACTTACACTGATATTTCCTTCGTATTAGAACGGTTCAGGTCGTTATTAATGAAAGGTTGTAAGAAGATTGAGTCTGTAGTTTAGTGTATGGAATGTGGCCCTAGTCATCAGTCCTGGTCAAGTGTAACTGACTTGTAGCAAGTTCTGACTGCATCAATACTGTTTCTCTTCATCTTGTTCCCATCTTTTTAGTTCACTTTTTAGTTTTTACGCTTTTATGCATAATTTAATTTTATTATATGTTTAGATTTATAAACCTAAATAGTTTTTTTTGCAAGGGAATTGGAACAGAGCTGCGAGCAAAGCTAATAATTCTATTAAAATCATAAAAAGGTCATATATAGGTACACACTAGCGGCTCACGCTCGCTTCGCCCGCGTTCGCGTCTAGAAAAGCACAAACAGATTTATCCCACGGGAATCGTTCATTTTTCCGGGATGAAATGTATTTAAAATAATGACCGGGGATAAAAGGTACCGCCATCCAAAATTT